TCTTTTGTATTCTTCCTATTTTAGTTTTTTTTTTTTTTTCCGCGCTGGTGGAGCAGTCATGGCGCCATGTGCTATCAGTGTCGGTGTCAGCAAGTGGATCAGATCAGGTCGGTGCTTGCTCTTTGCTTGGTAATCACGGCGTTAGGAGGGGATACAACCGCATTGTATCGCCGGTTGGGACTTGCTTAATCTCTAATATGAATGACAGCTGTCTAGACGACACAGGGGGAAATTTCAGTAGGGAATTAGGGTTACGCCGAAGCATCCAGATGCGGTACTTGATCCGGAAGACGCTCACTCACCGACAGCCGCGGCCCTCCAACGGCTCGTACGGCTCATCTCAGTCTGCACGCACGGCATCCTCCGGCAAGGAAATGGGTTCCGAACCGTGCAGAAGCACCATGCACACTGCCGTACAATTGTATAAGATAGCGGTAGTGTATGAGCAGGAATCTATTGGCGCAATCCTCCTTCCACGTGGGCGGTAGTGCCCCCCCCCCCCTCGGCTATTGCCTGCTTCCCCCCAACCCGGGCGATGAATTCCCCACTTTTGAGACTATTGCAGCGACTCTAATCCCTTTCCATCCACGCCCGTTGTTGTTCAGCAATCTAGCAAGACCACTAAGCCCGGTGTAGCTTAGCAATACGAACTAGAACCGTTCTTCTGTGCTTCCGCCTTGCTTCTGCGCGGTGAGCCCGTTTTGTTTCTGCACGCATACTGCGATTCTGCGTTCCTTCGTCTTCTCTTCTCCCCACCACGATCAGGCACACCTGATTCATGCAAACGCAGCTCCTCCACTTTTCTGGCCTGGTTAGTCCGCGGAGAGCCTGCATTGCAGTCGTACGGAGTCTGGCCTGATCACTTGGCTTGCAATTGAGTTCGGAGGCTATCGGTCCCCCACCGCCAGCTAGGCTGTAGCCTCGCTTTAAAAGCCTCACCTCGTCCACCTTTTTTCTGTGGTGTCTCTCAGGATCTTATTCTCATCTCCTTTGTACCCTTCCTTGCATTTTGTTTTTGTGAGGAATTCACCATGAAGCTCACCACCGTCCTCCCGCTCGCCGGCCTCGCCGGCGCCAGCAACCTCACCAAGGGCTGCACCGTGCTCAGCGGTGCCCTGGACGAGGTCTACCTCCCCAGCACCACGGTGTATGACTACGAGGCGCAGAACTTCTGGTCCAACACCGAGATCATGGCTCCCGGGTGCGTGTTCCGGCCGCAGTCGAGCGCGCAGCTGGCCCGGGGCATTGAGAAGTTGGTGGCGGCGCAGGCCGAATTCGCCGTGCGCGGTGGTGGCCACATGGGCATTCGGGTATGTGCACAGCAGCACCTTCACTCCACTTCCACCTTTTTCCACTCGCAGAAAGAAACAAACCAAACAAAGGATAAGAGTGGACGCTAACGAATGATCGACAGGGATCCAACAACATCGACAACGGGGTGCTGATCGTCATGTCCAACCTGACGACCCTGGAGTTGAATGCCGATCAGTCGCTGCTGCACATGGGTCCTGGCTTCCGGTTCGTTGCCTTGCTTACCCTCCCCCTTTTAGCTTCCTCTACCCAAACCCCCTCCCTCTCTTGTTAGAGAAGTGCTAATGTGCAAAACAGCTGGCAGGAGATCTACGACTACCTAGAACCCTACAGCCTCACCGCCCCCGGCGGCCGCCTCGGCCCCGTCGGCGTGCCCGGTCTGCTCCTGGCCGGCGGCGTGAACTACTTCGGCAACCAGGTCGGCTTCTCTTGCGACTCGGTCGTCAACTATGAGGTCGTGCTGGCCAACGGCACCATCGTCGAGGCCAACGCCACCTCGCACGCGGACCTCTTCTGGGCCTTGAAAGGTGGCAGCAGCAACTTCGGCATCGTGACGCGCTTCGATATCGAGACCATCGCCTCCACCCAGGTGTGGGCGGGTACCTGGACTGTCGCGGAGGAGTATATTCCTGATTTCTTGGCGGTACGTTCTCCCTTGAGAGTGAATGAGTGGGATAGGGAGGGTGGAGAGGGGATAGAGGGTTGGCTAACGACATGATCAGGCAACTGCTGCTTTCGCTGCCAACAACACCGACCCCAAGACCCACGTTGTCCCGGCGGTCGTCCCCTCCGAGGGCTCGGCCGTTGGTTCGGTCATTCTGTTCTACGATAGCCCCGACGTCAGCTACCCGGACGCCCTGAAGGTGTTCACGGATATCCCGGCCGTGTCGAACACGATGGCGTTCAAGACTGTGGCTGAGATGGCCGTGGAGATGGGAGCGGTTGTCACGCCGCATATCAAGTAAGCCAGCCCTTAGCCTTCAACCAACTTGTGCCTGTGCCCGCACCGCACCACCCCCTGCACAACGCACTAACAAACACCTATAGTGACATCTTCGTGGCCGGCACCATCAAAGCAACCACCTACGAATCCCTCCTCGAAGGCGTGAACATCATCAACGCCACCTTCGCCGCCCAGCTGCCCAAGCTGTACGCCCAGATCCCGAGCGCCAACATCTCCATCATCGAGCTGGACTGGCAGCCCATCGGCGCCAACTGGATCGACGCCTCGACCGCCCGCGGCGGCAACGCACTGGGCCTCGACGCGTCCCAGAACTATTTGTGCTACGCCGAGGTGGTCGAGTGGATCGGCAGCGAGTATGACACCATCGTCGGCCAGTGGGTCGTCGAGACCACCGAGTTGATTAACAATGCCACCGATGCCGCTGGGCTGTATGATCCGTTCAACTACATGGGCGATGCGGCGTGGTTCCAGGAGATTTACTCTGGGTATGGCAGTGAGAACTTGGCTAAGTTGCAGGAGATTGCGAGTGCTTATGATCCCGAGGGCGTTTTTCAGACGTTGATGCCGGGTGGGTATAAGCTTTTCTAGGCCGGGTTCGGTCAGTGGATAGAGGGGGTGATCATGACGATGATGATGTTAGAAGGGGGTGGGGAATAGATGTAATATGGATGTCTTAATGAATATGATTTCTCATCGAGTCTATCGACTTCTTACTGTGCATCATGGAAATCGGCAAGAGGCAAGGTAGGAAGGAAAACACTGTATATTCAAACACACCCTAGCATACACACACCGCAACCCTAAGCCGTACTCTTCCTCGACGCACACCGCGACGCCCCCGCACCCCCCCCGGGCAACGGCGCCTGCACCTGCACATAGTAATCACACAGCCCCCCATGCTGCATCCGACGCCACTGCCCGATATCCCGCCTCTCGATTTGATGCTGATGGCGGTCCAGCGACGTGGTCGTGGGCACCCGCTTATGCCCCAGCCCCAGGTTGTACGGCCGGTACTCTGGGTCCTGCTGCAGCCGGTGGATGACGCTGGCGTGGATGCGCGCCCCGTCCGGCAGCGGCCGCCGCAGGCCCCCGACATGCCACCGGGTCTCCTTGACGGAGCCGTCGCGGTTCACCTTGGGGCGTTTCATGGGCAGACACTCCAGCAACCGCCAAAAGAGCGTCTCGACGCCTTTCCCGGAGTCGTACTCGAGGGAATCGTGCAGTGGGGCGCGTTCGGCCATGTGCACGATCGCTGGGTCGAATTCCATCAGCTGTTGTTGCTGCTGCTGGGGCTTCGCGACGTCCTCCACCTCGATCAACCTCCCTTCCCCTTCCCCCTCCGATGACCCCGATAACGAAGGAGAAACAGCAGGCACCAGATAACACCCCAGCTCCTGCAACTGCACCGGATCAAACGTCAACCCGACATGCGTGGCCTCCTGCACCATCCACATCAAGGGAATCTGACTAACAGGCCAACTCCTGGCCCCTTCCCCGGAATAAGCCGGGGGATGCCCGCCGCCGACATCACTATGATCCCCCGCGAAATACACCTCCTCGAAATCCGTATCGAGCACGGGACTCAACGGCACGCCCCAGAACTGCTGCTCCGCGCGCTCGGCCCAGGTGCTCACGCGGCCCTTCTTGGCGTGCGCGCCGCGCAGCCGCTCGAACAGCACGGGCTGGAACTTGATACGCTTCTCGTCGATGCTCACCGCGTGCCGCATGTAGCGCGGGCGAGGCATCGTCTCCATGTCCTTGAGCACGTCCTTGTTGAACTCCGCGACGCTGTTGACGGTGTCGAACAGGCCCAAAAAATGCACGAGGCCGACGGACCGGCACATCGTGTCCCGGCAGAGGCGGAGGAAGTTGTCCGCTTGCCGCGCTTCCCGCTCCCCGTGCGCGTATTTCCAGGACAGGAAGGCTTGCCATACGAAGGGGATCAGTTCTTCGTTGTCGGCTGAGATCAGGCCCACGAAGTCGAGCATCTCGTTCAGGAAGCGGGCCGTGTAGGCCCCGCGCGAGAAGCCGAAGAGGTAGATGTGGGAGCCGGGCCGCCAGCGTCGTGCGAGGAAGCGGTAGCCGCCGATGACGTGTTGGTCGAAGGAGGTCGCGAGGGCTTGGTCGATGACTTTGCTGGCCGGCAGGTTGCTGAAGGGCCGGAAGGCGACGTTCGCGAACGTGCCGGGGGTAATGTCGGTGCCGATGCCGGCTTGGGAGGGTTAGTGAGTGTGTGTATGAGGCACTTCAGGGGAGGGACGCACGTTGGTAGTAGCAGTCTTGGGAGGGTTGGTTAGTATGTTTCGACGGAGAGTGATAGGGCAACGGCTTACATCGATTCTCTTTGCTGCGGTCCAGCATCCGAAAGATCTTCAGGATATTGCTCTCGCCTCCGTCCACCCGAAACGTGTTCCCGGTGCCATCGAAACAGAGCACCAGTTCTTGGGTGGGTTTGTTGTGCACCGGCGGCCGGTCGCAGTCGCATGGATCGTACGCCATGGTTTGGTTTGATCGGGGAGTGATTGAATTGGACGACCTCCGACGAAGACCCGCGTGTTGGAGTCCCTTATATCTTCTCCGAATACTAGTCGCCCACCCAGCTGAATCGGGCACCCTGCCAATAGCCCTGCATCGTGGCTGAGGGGCAGAGCCTGTATCCATATGATCCCACCCATCCACAAATCGAGCACCGGAGAACAGGATTTGGTCAATCTCTCACCCCAAAATGGACCAATCCATTGCGCCGCCCGGTAAGGGTGCAGCAACGGTGGACGCTGAGGACGCTGAGGACGCAAACTTCGCTGGCCGTCGATCCGGCCGCCCCCATCCATGCATTGGCAGCCTTATGCATCTGACCCGGTATAGGGCTGACCATTGGCTCGCACCCTGGGTCAGGCCAACCAGCCAGAAACACTCAGCCTCCAGCGCAGTTCTGCTTACTGACTTCTTGTCGCTTTGCTTCGCCTTGTGGTGCGTCTCCTCGCACGCTGGGGCGAACAGCGTCCGTCTGGCGGAAACGGGTGTTCTTTCCCTGCTGCCAATCAACACCCGGCGATGTGACAGATCACCCAGCATGATGCCAGCCTGCATCGATAGACCCTCGATAATCTGCACCCTCGCTGCAGGCGGCCCCATCCCGCTACGCCAATCGGCAGGGCTGGCCATCGCCACGGGCACCGGCGGACGACCAACAAGGCAACTCGTGAGTTCGCCCGATCGCGTCTCGCTACTCGTCGGCCGAGTACTGCTCACTAATGATTCTGCATTATCTGACTCATTTGCTGTCAAGGAAAGGCTGCACTCACGTAAGATGGTCGAGTCAAAGCCACGCCTCGTGGCGATTTGTGCAGAGTTGGGGATGGCAAGTGACCGAGTCCATCGGAGGGATCCGACGCTGGCGGGGGCCGACGACGACCATGTCCGGAGACGAAGACTTCAGCCAGCGATGGTTGGCCTGAACCGCGTATCTTAAACGATGGGGAGCGCGACAGTGGGAATCGGAGGACATTTTTGATCCACTTGGAGTGACTCTGGAATCTACTCGTGCCGGGGGTAATAGGGGCGTGCGCCAGATCGAAGCATTTCTCCAATCGGTAGGCACTCGCCTCGTCGCAGCTCAACATATCTTCTTCATTCGGGTAGTAAGAAGTGAGTCAACGGGGTGTTAACATGGTATCAGGGGATAGACTCCGGAAAAGTCAGGAAAAAATAGGAAAGAGGAATGCGTATCCAGAACATCGCTGGCGATACGGACAACCGAGTGCAGCCTTTCTTTCTGGCCGGAGGAATACTCAGCTCAAGGTGGATACAATGACCCCTTCCAAGCAAATCATAGGAAGAAGGAAGATCACAGCAGAGTATGGTAGCTTCTCCCCTCGTAGCTCTCCATGCTATCGCTGGGACTGCGAATCCCAAGTCCTCAGGGCCCTGGTGTCGGGGTTCTGATTACTGCGTCATTCCAGCGCTCAAACAGAGCTCCGGGTTATAGAAAACATGTTTTTAGAAAAATAGCTCTTTTTTCCGATTGTCACAACCAGTAAGGCCGCATTGAGCCGGAAGATACGCTCGCCGCCTGCCTGTGATTATTCGCAGTGTAAAACTGGGCTTGTTACGGTCGCGTTGACAGGAAACTGTGGATAGAATGTTGTCTGCGAGGTGGGAGGTGCTGTCAGGAAAGAGGTGTAGGGGAGGAGAATTCCATTGTTTATTGATAAACAGGAAAGGCAGGGTAGCTTAACCTCCGCTTCACTGTGATCGAGGTAATTGACCTCTACTCTTCCATTCACTACAAAAACTACAACAGTGTAAGGCGGTGAATACCCTCATCCCACCTCGGCACACGGATCAAGAATGTATCGTAACCAATATCCCTATAGAAACAGATCTATGTACAAATCCAAACTCCAATCTATGTGACTGCAAACCCAATCAAATCCTGATCCCATCACCCATGCTAGCCATCCCACCCGATCCAATGCTAATACTGTTACATCATTAATTGTTCATTACATCTTGCATATATTCATGATTCCGGCCGAGCAGGAGGCGTCTCCGGCTCGCCCATCGGCTGCAGCTCGATCACCTCGGCCCCCTTCGCCTCCTCTCCGGTACGTTCGCCCCCCGCCGCAGGAGGCTTGTCCTCAACCACCAGCGGCTCCTCATCCACCGCGTACCGCAACCGCCCGTCGTCCTGCAGGAACGTCCGAAAGGCATACCGCTTGTTCAGCCGCGTGGTATGCTCCCGCCGCTGCGAGTTGGGCATCGCGTACGTGTTGGTGAAATCGCCCAACATGCGACTATTGGCGATCCACGGGATGATCGCCCCGATCGACCGGGGCATGCGTGGGCCCCGGAACCGTCCCCGTCGTGTGCCAAAAACCACTAGTACCATCACCGTGTCCAATGCGATGAGGATGAGCGCAATGGCGAGCGACGGCACGGACGGGACCATGGCCCACGTGTTCGAGATCACCGTCCCGTTGGCGGCGGGACGGAGCTCTATCAATGGCAAAAGGTACATGTTTCGCCACACCGAGAAGTAGGTGGTGTAGACCCATTGATACACCTCTTTGGAATGCTCCATCAAAGCCTCCACCTGTAGAGGTAGAACATGCGCCTGACTCTGTTTGTACAGCCGAGCCACCAAGAACCCGGCCCAATCGTACGAGGACACATAAGACCCGTTGTGCCCCGGTTCTTCCCCAACAAAGCTCTGCGGGATCGCCGCAAAGATCTTGTTGAACTGCCCCATGGCCGCGGTGGCGTTGTCGTACATGGCACCAGAAGTGACGGATGTCCCGTCAATCGGGTCGACATCGGATATTTGACCGCGTTGGTCAAATGTCACGCTGAAATTTTGCATTTGCACCTTCGGCTCGCAGTGAAGAGCGATGGTATTCTCGGTGGTGTAAGCTGACGCAGCGGTGTAGTTCCATCGGCCGACCACGATGAACGTCGACTCCTGACACTCGTCGCGGTCGGAAGAAGCCGAGGGCGAGAGAAAATGGATCGAAAGCGCAATGGCTTCGTGGGGTCGCGTCAAGCCAGTCATGTTCACCGTGCACTCTCGGCTCGCATTGTTGAAGGGATGATACATCCAATACTGGGTGTGGCCGGTCTGGTGCATGCTCTCTTTCACGTTCAAGGAGACACAATCGAGTTCGGCGCCAATTCCAAGCGTGGTAGCACCATACATCACATCGGGATTTGGGTCGGTGTTCCTGATCGGGAGGAAGGTGTAATTGGCCGCCATCCACGACAATAACGGGACCCCGCTGGAGACACTAGTCTGAATCAGGTCGAACTCGGTGAAGTCGGCTGAGAAGTCGGTTTGTCGGAAGTGCGAGTGGCTGTAGTTGGCGTATAACGATTTGGAAGGAAGAAACGAGGTGGTGAGTTCTTGATTGAAAAGACCACCGGCGACCACGGTCAACACCACATTGGCAATGCAGGTGAAGGACACCAATCCCAGAAGAACATGGCGATCCTGAATGGCTTTCAGGAACACGGCCCAAGGGTTCTGAGATCCGTAATTCAACGACAACGACGACTGGGCCGTGGCCATGCCGCGTTGAAGATGGACCCAGGGTTCCAGAATGCTGATGTTACGCAGAATAGAATTGCAAAGGGCACCGACCGAGGAGGCAACCACCGACGGTAGGAACGAAAGGATGACCTGCAGGAAGCTTGAGCCGGACTGGGTTAGATGCTGGAAGCTGCCGTCATGCGCCAAGGACGCAACCGTCAGTCCCATGATGGTGATGATTGCAGCTAGAAACAGAAATTCGACAATGAAGATCGGGACGACAAGGAAGTGGGGCATGGGGTCGACGCGCGTCCGGGTTTGATAAGGCAATATCACTGGTGAGCCTGCACGAGAGTCAGCAAAGTTCGGTCCCTATTGAAATTCAGGGCAGCCTACCATCCGCCGAGACAATTCCTAAACGTGGACCTTCCGGACCCTGCTGCCATTGGAGGCGACAGGTGTTCAGAATCTGGCGTAATTGGCGCGTGGAGAACTGATGAAACTCCGTCTGAGGATCGGCCAAGATGTTGGTCGGCCCAAACACATCAGTCAGCATACTGCACATGGCCCCAATGGAGCCGGGATCACTCTGCAAGATATTCGGCCGGGATTGATAGAAATAGATCAAGCAGACGGCGAGCACAATTCCACAGGCCAGTAATATCTCCGAGCACCAAGCGGCAAAAGTGACCACCGATATCGTGACCTGGGTTGAGAATCGCAAGGCGGGCACGCTGGTCGGTTCCTGGTCGGGGTTGAAGAGCCGAGCGAAGGTGAGCACAAACGTCTGAACTACGCCTCGCGTCACTTTTGATTCAAACTCGTCGGGACTCATCACGGTCGATGCATCCAATACCAGCAGCGGTTCCAAGTCACGCACGTTTTGACTGATCACGGGTAGTTCCGTCACGGTCGTGTCGCCGCTCGTCTGATTATTGTCAATGAATAGCATGTCTCCCGTGTACGGGGCACGTTGGGCCAGCAGTCCTTGGAAAGCGTTGATATTGAATAATTGGTCGGACAAGGCGGTTTCGGTGTCGGGAAAGACGGTGACATTGGTGATCGAACTGTTCGCGTGCATACTGAGTCGCGCGGTGGCTTGGCGGTAATCGATCTTGCAGGCGAAAATCGTTGCTGTAGAGGTGAACTCGGAACCCATTTCGCTGATGCTGTAAGCGCCGACCTCGGTGGCATTGACTGAGAGAACGATGCCATACAGGTCGTAGGGGTTGTCGCAACCACGGGCAGTGAATGCGGAACTCATATCCGCAGAGTGGTGTGACCGGTTGGGCCAGACAGGCTCCCAGTAACGAATCTGCAGATAATCGGTGTTGTCGAAGTAAATATTCTTGTAGTGAAAGTCCAAGATGCAGCCGTTGTCGGTCCCGTTGATATCCGGCAGTTTGACATCGGTCACGTTCCACGAGACAGCCGGTGGGTACGTCGAGTTATCGTTCACGGACACGGACAGGTGGTTGTCAATCATGACATCGCGACAGGATAGCTGCGCCCAGTAGATGGTCTCATTCAAGGTCCATACGGTATTCTCCTGCCGGTCTGCGAGGCTGATTTCGATCGGGGCCACGGCGTAATTCGACGAGCGGGAATCGCGCAGTTGTGTGTTGGTGGTCAGAACAGAGGCGAGTGTTGTGTTCGGGCTGCTTTCCTGCGAGAACATCCACTCGGCCTGATGGTCGAGATCCAACAAGTGGGGCCATGTTTTCATGTCGTCGTCGTCGAGCATGTTGATCTCCCGGAGTTCGAGGAGAGTACTCTGCAAGGCGGGAAGGAACATACGAATGAGCACGGTGGTGACGGAAACCAGAAAGACGATCCAATGGCGGCGCCGGGCCGACGTCAGAGGGGTGAGGAACGACTGGCCGAAGTTGTAGTTGATGAAGAGAACCGACGCGGGGGCACCCTCTGGTCGAGCGACCTGGAAATAGGGCTCCAAGCGCAAAACATCGTAGTCAATAAAGGTCCAGAGGGTCACGAGGGCCAAGGCGGCGATGATGGGCAGGTAGTTGTAGGCGAAGGACTGCAGGCTGGAGACATTGTCGGTGTCGGAGAAGAAGACCAGTCCCCCATATTGTTGACAATATCGCCGCAGAACCTCCAACGTTATCAACGAAGCGAACATCACGGCGGTGATCAGGGTGAGAAACATGGGGCGCAAGGCCATGGGCCGCCATGCCCCCAGAGGGGTGGTTGGCGGGAGCGGTTGTCCATCGGGCGAGGTTTGGCGCGATCGGAGGAAGGGCGGGAGACGATGACGGTCTGCAGGCGAGATTAGCGATAAGCAACCATCGAGGTTAGGTTCCGAGGAGCAGCACGCACTGATGACAGGCAGCCAGAAATGATAGAGTTTCTTTTCCAGGCGCCTGAACATACTTGATGAGGCAGGCTCTGGAGAAGGCCGGGGAGAGGGCGATGGGGATGGGGGGAAGGGCGGCGGACGGTCATCACCCGACGGAAGATTGTTCATGGACGACACGACAGAAGCTGACGAAGCCAAGAGACGGGATCATCGCTGAGGGTGGGTGGGGGGGATGGCGGACGAAAATCGCATGACGGCGGACGGAACGATCACCGTGCAGGCGATAGAGGGATAGATAGATAGGAAGAGGGGAGGAGGATTGAGAGGAGGACAGGAACGGAAGGGCGGAGGAGGAGGAGGCGGAGGCGGCGGAAGACGAAGACAACGATTGAAAGTAGTACAGTACAGTACAAGGATGCGGAAAGAAAAGAGTGTGTGAGAGGGGGAGGAAGGGAGGGAAGAGAAGAGAGAGAGAGAGAGAGAGAGAGAGAGAGAGAGAGAGAGAATGTGTGCAGGAGAGAGGGACAGTGAGTGAGCAAGTGAGCGAGTGAGAGTGAGAGTGGAAGAGATGGAGGGATGGAGTAAGAGAGGATGACGATCGAGGTGCAAGTCAGTGGGTGATGGGAAACTTGGCAAGCGATTCCTGATTTACCAAGAATGAAGGGAGGGCGGCCTTAGGTTGCTCGTCCTCATAGGGTTAGATCGCACGGCAACACACAGCCAGCAGCCAATGAGAGTGTCGGGGACTCTCGAAGAGCGCGGAAAGGGTCAGGCACTAAACCCAATTGAACTCTCCCGGGCGCGACTTTCGGCCTCCCCATTAGGACTAGTCCGGAGTCAGTTCTAAGCCCTCCGGCTTAAGGAGCTTGCGGAACTTACGACTACAGTAGGATGATAATAAGCATAGTATACCTACTGCTGCTACTACTGGAGCTATTCCTGAATTGAAGAGACTATTCAAAGTCGGTCGCGTTGTGTGTCGCTCATCCAGGCTGGTTTTTAACTCCCCGTTTGTCTTGGCCCAGCTCAGCCACATCACCACGGCAGATATACCACAGTATGTTTCGAAGCCCCGCTTCCACCGTACTCCACGAAATGTCGAGTTATGTTCTCAGCTAACTGACTGCTTCAACAGCACTCAAACCGCACTCATCAGCATCAAAAATGTCAACCGTGCTCCATGATCAATACCTAGGCAAGTCATCGCCCACATTTTGAGCAATAGTCTTGGCGATAACTGCCAAGACCATTGGGTAAGATGGCTGCAGTGGCTTGACGATCGATGCGTCTGGCCTCGTCGTCTGACTCCATCCCAAAACGCAGTTTGTGGCGTGGTTTGGGCACCGTAAGTGGCGTGAGCTAGTCCAGTGAGAAACTCTGCTGGTGGTTTCAGACTGGTGTTTTGCTTCTTTGCGGGAGCGCATCGCTGTTGACAAGTCGGATAACTACAAGAGACAGCCAGACGCCGATTAGTGCTTGTGATAGCAGTTCCTTATAGGCGGCGAGCTGGGACAGCCAAATACTATAACTTGCCAAGAGCAACCACCGGAGCGACATGTGATCCATCACTCGACGGAGGGTTTCTCGTCAATCCAAAAGACCCCGGTCCAGTTGACATTTGGACTATCCGGGGTGCTCGCTTGGAGCGGTCGTTTAAGGTGCTTACAGGCAGTCAGAAGATAGCACACCCCGTCCAGTAGAATCCATACAGGACATGAATATGTTGGTGGTCAAGACAAGCTCGGCGACCGAAGGTTGGTGCTGTCCGCAGCCCGGCCAGCCACTGACAGCCCTCACCGAGAGCTTATGCCGGTCGGAGTCATCCAGTGTCGGTGAAAAGAGCAAAGCTCTTGCTATATTATAGACAGTTATGCACCAATCCACAGGTCCAAGCGATGCATGGCTACTGGGTGCAGTATCGAGTCAGAAGACGTCGCTGCTCCCCCATCCCTCAACCAAGCCATGTGATCTGGCGCGTGTTTGTGAAGCTGGCCGGCTATCGGCACGACACGTTGCGAGAGAGAGGTGCGGTGGTACAGCAGCAGGAGGAGGGTGAGACTACGTATGCCCAGCATCTCCCCCAGCCGGGTTTACCGGGTTGCTGCAGTGATGTGCAACGTGAATGCCCTTTGGAGTTGGGATCGGATATTATTGCAATCAGTAGCGATAATGGGAAGCTCAACTGGACGGGATAATGAGCTACGGTGGTTGACTTCTCACTGATCACTTATATCAACTAATATGCAGATACCCAGTCATTTACCAGTGTCAGTGTCAGGGTTGTGATTGTATACTTGGTAACTTAGGACTCCCAATGCGGGGAAGAAGACTAAGAGTCGGTCGGCTGGGGCCGTCTTGCCCCGATCGGGGCTGAGCCTTCAGCCATCCGCCGACCCAAAGCTTGCATAGGCGATTAAGCATTGGGCGCTTTCCCCGCCCGCCCGCTATGGAGCAAGCAAGAGTGGACTTTTCCTGGAGAAGACACGCGTCAAAAATCCGGGGAAGATCCCCTTCTATACTCACCGGTTTCTTCGGAAATTTCTCAGACGACGGGGGTCTGTTTCAGCTGGTTGTACGATTCAATCCCCCAACTGCTTAGGGTTTCACAACAGGATCCTCCCCGATACTGCCATCATCCCAGTCACTGTACAGTACTGTACTGTACACTCTCGGTGGCAGTCCCTTTTACTTTCCAGCTCGAGCCTGATCTGGTCCTGTTCAAGGCTAGCTGCTTCCCCCGGACCAGGATTCCGATCCCTCTTCGGTATCGCTCTCAAACTCACGTCACCGCAGAGGACTGGGGACCCAATCAGCCCACGGACAGGCGATGGTACCGTAGCGCCGTAGAAAGTTCCTGGGGCGTGGCACGATGGCCTAAAACTCTACGGACTGCGGGGTTTAAGGTTGGCAGTAGATGTGTGAATCATGGGGAAGGAAGAGGTGAGGAACAAGTGAGGAGTGAATGACAGGCACCTGACAGTCGGACACTATTTTAAGGGAGCTGAGCCCATGGCTTCCCTCTTGGTCCCTCGGTCTTCTTCCTTTTCTCCCCTCGTGTTTCCATCTTTTCTTTCCACACAGTCACTCCCTCAACATCCACCCATCATGCTGGTTGGCAACATTTACGTGATTGCGGGTGTCTCCGTCGTTGGTGGCGCCCTCTTTGGCTTCGATATCTCTTCCTTGTCTGCCCAACTCAATGAGAACTCCTACAAATGCTACTTCAACCAGGGTCCGCAGGGACCTCCCTTCACCGACGACGAGGACTGTTCGGGTCCGACCTCCTTGAACCAAGGTGGCATCACTGCTGCCATGGCAGCTGGCTCTTGGCTGGGCGCCTTGATCTCCGGTCCGCTGTCAGATCGGATTGGACGAAAGACCTCCATCATGGTTGGCTGTGTTATCTGGTGAGTGTGTGCTCTCCGGTAGGATATCATCATTCTTTTCACACTAATCATAAGTCAATGGTTCGCAGGTTGATCGGATCGATTATCATCTGTGCGTCCCAGAACATCGGCATGCTAGTGGTGGGCCGCATCATCAACGGCTTGTCGGTCGGTATCGAATCGGCCCAGGTTCCGGTCTACATCAGCGAACTGTCTCCCCCCTCGAAGCGTGGTCGGTTCGTCGGCATGCAACAGTGGGCCATCACATGGGGAATCTTGATAATGTTCTAGTAAGTCCCGGCGACTCTCACTCAACAGTCCTCCGCCTAGGCCCCTTCGCTCACAGATGTGTTAGTATCTCGTACGGATGCTCCTACATCGGAGGACAGAAGTCCTACAACTACAGCACCGCCTCGTGGCGTGTTCCATGGGGCTTGCAGATGCTCCCGGCCGTGTTCTTGCTAGGAGGGATGCTGGTGCTGCCCGAGTCACCTCGCTGGCTGGCACGAAAGGATCGGTGGGAGGAATGCCATCGCGTCCTGGCGTTGGTTCATGCCAAAGGCGACTTGCATCATCCGTTCGTCGCCCTGGAGATGCAGAACATTCGCGATATGTGTGAGCTTGAGCGACAGTACAAGAACGTCACCTATTTGGATTTATTCAAGCCGCAAATGCTGAACCGGACCCTGATCGGCTTGTTCACGCAGATCTGGTCGCAGCTAACGGGCATGAACGTGATGAGTATGTAGGACCTCGTGATGGCAGTCTGCCTTGGCTGATCGTGTCAATAGTGTATTACATCACCTATCTCTTCTCCATGGCCGGCTATACGGGCAATTCTACTCTCCTGGCCTCGTCCATTCAGTACATCATCAATGTGCTGATGACTCTCCCAGCTCTGATCTGGATGGATCGTTGGGGTCGAAGGCTTCCCTTGCTGGTGGGGTCGGCTTTGATGGCGATCTGGATGTATACGAATGCGGGTATTATGGCCGTGCATGGGGAGGTGGTTCCGGGTGGGATTGACGGTGTTGCGGCGGAATCGATGCGTCTGCACGGGGCGGCGGCCAGGGGGTTGATTGCCTGCACCTACTTGTTCGTTGGTACGTACGAGTATTTACTATTCCTGCCATGCTCAACCCCACATGATAGATCTAATCTCATCTAACCCCCGTCTCCGTTAGCTTCATACGCCCCCACCCTCGGCCCCGTTTCGTGGACATACCCGCCCGAGCTCTTCCCGCTCCGTCTCCGTGGGAAGGGTGTTGCTCTATCAACCTCGGGCAACTGGGCGTTCAACACCGCACTGGGACTGTTCACTCCGACTGCCTTTGCCAATATCCGCTGGAAGACGTACATCATCTTTGGCGTCTTCAACACCGCCATGTTCATCCACTTCTACTTCATTTTCCCCGAGACCGCCGGAAAGACCCTGGAAGAGACGGAGGCCATGTTTGAAGACCCCAATGGCATCAAGTATCTCGGGACTCCAGCCTGGAAGACCAGGGTCAAGACCAGTGCGGTCCGGGAGATGGAGCGCGGCCATGTTGATCTGGAGTCGAAGATCGCGCCGGGCCACTCTCACACCGAGCACACCGAGACGGTCACAGCTGGTGAAAAGCGGGCGGAGGAACGAGCGGAGGTTTGAACGCGACATAGCAGGATTGACCTAGTATTGAAAGTGGGATTGCCGATATCGAAAGGGGATGACAGGCTGGCTAGAATCTTGTGACTAGTCCAGGGCTATTGTATCTCAAGCTTTTATTGTCGCATGGCTGACGACCTTGCCGATAATACCGTAATCTCTATGAATGAAGCCGGCCATGCGTGCTCGTGGCTTATGAGCCAGTTGATACTACGCCACAGGAGATGTATCTTTCTTCTGAAGGTGAAGTTGTTCCTCCTTGTACTTCGGAGTGTTGGCTACAGATACCGATCTGTTTCATAAACTTAACACCGTATTTAATTGATGGTATATGCTATGCAAAATTCTCAGACAATATGCAGTATGCTATGCCAAAAGCAACGTCATCCTCCGCTACACCTAAGAAGGAAACGCACCGCGCGCGAAGCAGGTGTTCTCGTCCTGCGAGTCCACCCCCATCTTCCCTTTCTTAACTCCCACCCCTGATCAGGATTTCCTCCTCGCAGCAGCAGCAGCCTCATACAGCCCCCGAATATCATCCCGCCACTGTCGCTCGTCGACACGCTTCACGCGGCGATCGTAGGTCATCAGCCCGTTGACCTCGCCCTCGACGTCGGTCGTCTGCGTCCACACGCCCGCGCTGCACGCGTACCGGCGCACCTGGTCCTGCAGCTCGGTCAGCAGCGCATGGCTGCGGTAGTTCCAGGCGGCGAGGTCGAGGTCCATCTCGTAGGTTTGGTTGATTGCTTGGATTGCGGTGGGGTTGTTCCAGAGGCTATCGCTGGTTAGCTAGATGGGATTGTGGGGCTGGGTGTGCCTGGGGAAGGGGGATATAGGGTGCTGGGTGGGAACGGATGGGTATTTGGGAAGATGGGGGGAAAGGAAAACGTACTGCTCGATCGAGACGTTATGTCCCAGTCCGCCGAATTCGCCCTGGATCGCGATCCGGGTGGGGTCGTAGGGGGTCGAGTCGATGGAGTAGAAGGGGGTGCCGCATTGGGGGTTCGCGTAGTGGTGGTTATCCTTGCATTCAGCCATGTCAGCTCGATTGCTCTGGTTGGAAGGGGTACGGGGAGGAGGGGGATGGAAAAAGTAGGGCACACGTACGTGGAAATCCCCGGCGCCGTGATCATGCCATCCCGAAGTGGAATCAACCAGCCGCGTCGGATCGAGTTTTGTGACGCGCTCCGTCAGCGAGAATTCCGGGTAGTACGAGGTGATCTGCCCCCAGCCTTCGTTGTAGATTACCCAGGCGAAGATGCTGGGGTAGCTTTTCAGCTGGTGGATCATCAGCTCGAGCTGGCGGGCGAATTCCTGCTGCTGGGCTTCGTCCGGGAGGATGTTCGCGCCGCTGGCGTCGTTCTCGAGCGGGCGGAGCGATGGCATGTCTTGGATGACGAGGAGGCCGAGCTCGTCGCAGGCGCGGTAGTACAGGGCTGGTTCGAGTTTGATCTGTTGCGATTAGTGTCTGTTAAGGGGCTGGGTGGGTAAGGGTAGGCTCACGTGTTTGCGGACCATGTTGAAGCCCAGATCCTTCAGCACGCGCAGATCATACTCCATGGCTTCGCGGTTCGGCGGCGTGTACAGCCCGTCGGGCCAGTAGCCCTGGTCCAGCGTGCCAAATAGAAAAGTGAAGTTGCCGTTCACCAGCGGCCGCTCGATGCCGTCGACCTCGCCCCGCGAGATGGTCCGGAAACCCAGGTAGCTTGCGACTGTGTCCTCGCCTAGGGTCACGGTCACGTTGTACAGGTTGGGCGAGTCGGGAGACCAGAGCTTGGGATTGGTGATGTTGAATTGGAACGGCTGGTCGGAGGTGCCGTTACTCGACCCGATCTCCGAGTCGCCCTCGTGGATGGTGATGTGCACGGAGGTGCTGTTGCCGGTGGCGCTGTGGACGGTGGCGTTGACTGGTTTGGTGGTTAGTGTACAGTGGATCGAGTAGGGCTTGTAGCGCAGATAGCCGCTTACCTTGTCCGTGCATGTCGCCGCTCAAGTCCAGCTGCGTGATGTAGTTGGCGGGCGCGGACTCAATCCAGACGCTCTGCCAGATTCCACTGCAGGGGGTGTAAAAGATGTGGCTGGGGACCAGGTGCTGTTTGCCGATGGGGATAACATAGTCGTCGCTGTCGGTCGGGTCATGGACATAGACCAGGCTGTAGGAATCCTGTTAGCTGAGATAGGTCGAGGGCTGCAGCTGCGATCTACATACAGCTCATTGTTCGTCGTCGCATTGACAAACGGTGTGATGTCCACCGTGAATTCGAAGTAACCTCCCCGGTTGAAACCCGCTTGCTGTCCATTCACAAAGACAGTCGCTTCATAGTCTACGGCCCCGAAGTTCAACAACGTGTTCTGTCCACTCCATGAACTTGGGACGGTGAAGTTGGTGCGAAACCAAGAGTAGAACGCTGACTCTGCTTGGATGCCTACAACAATCGAATCAGCTTCTGTGCTCTGAAGTTGAATTGCTTCAACCTACCCGACAATCCGCTCTCGAGACAAGACGGAATCAACACTTCTTGAGCAAGGGCCTGCCCGAATGGCGGACTTTGCACCGCATCCAGACTCGTGGCCGCCTGATACTGCCAGATCCCATTCAGATTCTTCCAGTCCGACCGCTGTCGTTGCGGTCGAGGATACTCCGGCCAGGGGTTGGTGCCCACCTGGTCGGTCCAATTTGTCGTCAACGGCGGCTGCTTCACCGCATACTTGGTCGTCTGTCGCGTGGAAAGGTGCTGGATGCTTCCAATACTCCGTGCAAGAGACTCGGAAGCTAGCAGGGGAATAAGCCAGGTGGAAACCCAATGCATGACGGCCGTTAATGTTCAGCACACAAAGGACGCAATCAAGGTGCAGCAAAGTATCCTCCCCAGGACATGAATCCACCCTGGGGTATTTATCCTCTTCGACTGTCTACGTGAGATTCATGTTGGGGGCAAAGCAGCAAGTGCCGAAAGGGCCTGAGCCAGCAGACACTACACCATGTCATCGCTCTTGCGACCCACTCTGGCCAGCATGATTGTCATGGCAGCCCCCCGATCAGAGGGACCACAGAAGCCCTGACCTTGAGCAGCCGCTGGACACACAGGAGTAGGGTCTTGGAGTGCTCCACCGGCCATCACTTGATCGCTTGGCAACCCAATGTCGTGGGGCGAGGGGGACTCGGCGAGATGCCCTGGGTGATGAACCGGCCCGAATAGTTGACAGACATGTCGCGTCGGGTGTCCAAGCCGACTGGATCGCCGCCTGCCATTTTTGAGGACTTCGAAGCCGTACTCTTCTCTCCAGTGTCCAAATATCCTTCTCCACCGATGGATGGATGACTCTTGGTGAGAGACTCTGAAGGTCAAAATCACTGCATCGGGCCCTGAGTGCTGACTCAGCTGAGCCACCCAATGAGCGTCGCGGATCACGAAGCAGGTTTGGCACGGATGGGGTCTTCGGACGGGGCTGCATGAACGGATTGTCAATCACTGATCTCATCCTTCCACCTCTCAAGTTTGGGTGCAGTGAATTTGCCTTCTGACCCCTTTCTGGGTTCCCTGGTGGTGTTGGGCACTTTCTACTCCGTACCTGCACCCCTGTTCCAGGGGCATGTCCCTTGTCCATGGTTTAGTTATTCTTCCCCGCCGATTCCAGCCCGTCGCCCTTGCCTTTTGTTTCTGTACAAATGCTGACTCGCAAAGTAACGTGGCCAGCGATTTCTCCTATCAAACTCCTACCCCGCATATCGCGCAGGAATGCTGCCTAGGATGGGCTTCAGGACGAAAGCCTCACCGAGACTACGAAAAGTGGGACTCAAAAGGAATACTGCATCATTGCATCAGCCAAGATCCCGAGCGATGATTTCATTAGGTTCGGGGTCGGAGGGTTTGCTCGGCCATGCACCAGCCTGGTTGTCGCCCGGTTATTCAGCCCTGCCAAGGTGCATGTAAGTGATACCCCATGTCAGGTGGCTCAGACGGATGTGAGTGTGTTGTTCTCGTTCATGCATACATCACTAATTCTGCAATTCTGGTCTCTGGTCTCGACTCCGAGGCTGTTGTGGGGTGACGTGACCGACCGGTCATTTTTCCCTTGGTCGCAAAAACAACAATTGACAGTCTGGAAATCGAGGGTCGATCGATTGATGACCCGCTGTCTGTTGGCTGTCATTCCATTTGTTGGGTGTCGATGGATGGATGCAATGCGGATGGGGGCTGCGAGGGTCGGTGGTGATCACGGGATGGACACCGGAGGACTCGGAAAAGTCCCTGACTCCATGCAAGTACAATGTCCACTTGCACTTTTTGATAACTGCGATACGCTGCCACTTGGATATTCGATACTGCTTGTCAAGTGGCGCAAGATCTTAATCCCGGCCAACGGTTATTGGAAAACCAGTTGCGGTCTCAATTTCTGGCGTGGCGTTCTCACCCCCACATTTCCCCAGGAGTGAGTCTTGTCCGCCGTAGGCAAGGCCACCACGTCCTGCATCCAGTGACAATGAATCTAGTCACTCAAGAAGGTATGTACTGACTACTCCAGGACTCATTATTGATGTTTCCTGTCGGTCGGTCGGTCGCCGATGCGGGTGTCAACCTCTCCCAGGCAATGTGCAGCCATGGCTTCTCAAATAATGGATTTCCCGAGTGTCTCGAGTTTTGGAACGCAGTCTACCATGCCACGGCCGCCTTTTTGCACTGGCTGGTTGGCCATTCACCTTTGTTGATCACATTGCCCAGCCTGTCGCCAGTCGGCATTGGCCACATCCCAACAGCGCGGTTTCTCGATTATCTCGGGTTGGGAGGCTCGGTCGGCTGCTATCTTGGTCGCGTTTTGATTATCATCAAACTGCCAGAGCTTCTCATCCACTCAAGAACAAAATTCGCTTGTCGCATTAGGCGGGTGTGATCTTCTGATGGAGAACCGACGCTTTGTGATGGAGATCGGTCGGACGAAAGACTCCTAACTCGCAGGCGCAATCTACCCTAGTGATTGTCAGCACCAGGGATAAACGAGATGCAAACCCGCCGTTGAGGACCTCGATATCTATGCTTTGGATTGTACTTGACGTTGACGTATTGTGGTGACAGAAAGCAACACTGTAACCCGTCTCACAGATCATAGCACTAAGCGCCATGACTTAGGGCCATGCCCCAGCATTTCATGCCAGCTGTGAGTGAGTCGTCAGGATAGCCTTTCTACGTCTTTCAGCGATTGATCCAGCTCTTATCAAGGGTCATCAATGCTAGCGGTAGTGCAGGTAGCGAACGGATAGCACTGCATAAATGCAAGATGGGGAATTCCGTCACTTGTGTCGCGCTAGGCACGTATTTTCAAGTCGTTCGACAGACAGAAATAGAGAATCATCATCTAGTGCGGGTCGAACGGTTCGTCCGTATCTAGTAGCACATCAAAACGAGGATTGATTGGGGCTTCATATGACACATCCGAGGAATCTTCATTTTCGCAAGATGCTGAAGGAGGCCGAGGTTGTCCAGCTGCAACAGGAAAGTCTAAGAAGTGATATGATCCCCCAATCTCCATCTCAACTCGATCGTATGTAGTACCAGATCGGTTGAGGTAGCGTATCGTGCGAGGTCATAAATCCAGACACAGTTTTCAGCTGCTTGGTTACGCCGACACCGCACGGTTTCTATCGGGGCTATCCTTGCCGACGGTGGCGAAGACCGCCAATCCGGGCAAAATAAGCACGCGATGATCGTTGACAACTCCTAGACCCATGGGTCAGAACACGGATATCCAGAACAAGTGTGTTTGCGTTAGAACCATAGTTGATAAGACAGGAGGGGCTGAGGAAACAGGGGCCATAGCGCGGACATGGGCCAAGGCAAACACCGGTTCAGCAAGCCAGGATCTTCCTCCCACAGATCCATCAGCCAGCCTTGAGATGAAGTAACAACAACTTGAAAGAGAAAAGGTGTTTGCCACAGATCCTAGGTCAAGGATAATTGGTCGGGTATTATCTCCCCAGTGATAAACCCGCAGGTTTCATGCGGTCAGCACAAAAACTACTTTAGCCTCTACGGGGTTGGCCGGCCCCGAGCCCTACTGGCTTGCGGCACGTGGTGATCGCTTCGAATTTCCATCTCATCGGTCTAATCTGCCTACCCAGTACTGTCTGCGGCGTGAAGGTAACGCTTTGACAAGCTTCGGTGGCAAATTGTGGATCTCTAATTTAGACTGCTTCAGACCAAGGAGAGAACAGTCTGTACTCTGGATCTCACTATCAATAACTATCGGGTCCGGAGATTATGAAATCGCGTCTCCGCCAGTTGTTTTTGTATCTTCGGAGAGGTCAAAAGACACATCCTGCGGGGTAGAGTAGGGAAGCGACTGAGCGAAATGACTGAAGGACATCTACACCCCCTGACCTCTCTGCTCAAACTAGTCAGACCGACGAACCCTGGACCGGTATAGCTTGCAATGCTTTGTGTTGAGGCAGGACATGATAGCCGATGGATTCTGCCCGGACTTCAGCTACTATCCCACACATCACGGCATAAACCGCTAGCCTGACTTATCCATAATCACTAGTTCAGCTTTCAACGCTGAACATATCGCAAACCTAAACGGCAGAAACCAAAGCCACCGGACATCGGCGAGTCCGCCACCTTGTAGTCAGCTTCTCTGTGTAACATGTTCGACCAGTATTTAGGCCATGCGATGCCTCTGTAGCTCTCAGCAGCCGAGCAGCAGATCCAGACGCTAGGCATCACTCCACTTCCCTTGCAACTTTCCAGATAAGCATGATGACACCCCAGCCACTGCGACCGATCTCCTACCGAAATGATCCCCTGGGTGCGATCAGTTGTCCTGCCTTAGTCCATTCTGAGTACGACTTTCTGTCGACCGGCATCCCGAACGAAAATGTCCAAAGACCAAACTCCGTCACAATTGACCCGGTCGCATTACACCTTCCTTGGAGAAGCTCCTTCCCTGCGGCGCGGCAGTGCAGGTTCTGGAGCGAGGCCGAGAATGCCGGAAAGACACTCCTCCAACAGATCAAGCGGATCAACCGTGCGAATAGTACCAAGGGCGGATCTATTGAGCCCGAGGCGGATGAAGCGGAGATAGAGCTCTCGAGCAAGGAGGTGGAGCGGATCGTGAACGCGTCGAGTGCGGCCGTGTATATGAACCCTAATTGTTCTTCCGAGGAGATCGAGATTATCTCGCAGCTCAACCTGATACTCTGGATCCATGATGGTATGGCTCGCGGTACATCTTTCGGCACAGATTTTAGTTGCTGACATCCTGTCTGGCAGATATCCTGGAGTCGTCAGATTCACCGCACGAGGTAATTTTGCAAACATTGCATGCGATTAAGGAGGCTAACATCCGATATCAGAGTGCAACCATCATCGAGAAAGTGACGGCGAGCTGGGCCGGAATTCTTGCCCATCCACACAAATACGCTGCAGACTCCTCCGATATGTTCATTCGTCTGGCTCAACGGATGCTGTGCATTAGTGGTCAAGGAGAAGGGCTTATTCGGGGATATTTAACGTGGATGGCGTTCATGCGGTCAACAATGCGAGACCAGTTCACCTCCCTCAGAGATTATCTTGACTACCGGGCAGTTGATATCGGACGAGAGTAAGTGCCCTGTATCCTCACGTCGCGCTCAGAAATCGATAACTGACTTCATTCTCTCCGCACAGCTATATCCTGGCCGCCGTGAAGTTCGGTAATAAAGTCCACCTCTCACCAGCTGAGGAGTCACCGCTAGCCCCGTTAATCGGATTGGCCATGGATCACATCATTATGACCAACGACCTTTTCTCCTACGACAAGGAGCGACGCGACTCGGAGACTTGTGCGAACGCGGTGCGATATTTGGAGCAGGTCCTCGCCATTGACGCGCGTTCCGCTAAGACCGTCATCAGCAGCCTTCTCACGCAGACGGAAGGTCAAATGCATGCAGAGCTGGAGAGTTTGCGTCGCGCGGACGCGCTGAGTGAGGCGCAAATCCGGTGCGCACGGGGAGTGATCGAAGCAGCGGCGGGGAATGTGGTATTCTCCATCACAACGCGGAGATACAGCCCTATCGGGGCTGCCCAGGCCAGTGGGATGAAAGGTTGAGAACCGAGGAGTTCTGTTTCATAGAAGATGATTGAACATAATATCAATAGACCATCATTCACCGTGGAAAACTCTCTCCGATGCCCAAGCCCGCTGGACGCGGGGATGGTACGGGTAAAGACAGGCAGTTATCTCCGGATACGGAGGGCACTGGCGGGAACGGGGATAGGGGGCGGGCCCGCAATATTTCCAAAACTAGCCAGTTATACTGGTTATACACCTATAAACGGGGCGGGCTTTATCAGCTGGACCTGGGAAATGTCGAGTTTGTCAAATTCAGTTACAAGGGATGGTTGAACATGCAGTACACTATCCCTGCAGATGATGAACATGGTCATTGGTGGACACATCGCCAAAAGCCATAATGTGTAAGCTAAGGTATCTTGCCCGTAACCGAAAAGGACAAGAAAAACTATGCCCGTACTCCCACATGGTTGCGCGTGCAGATATAAGTCCCCGATACTCCCCTACTCCACCTCGCACAACTTGAACTTATTGCTTACACCTCCGGGATGACACATGGTGCCCATATACTTATACTCCTCGTTTACCACCACTCGATAAAGACCCACTGTCGGCTCGCCCTCTGTCCGAAGAAAATTAGCCTCGCTGATTGTGTGCTTTGGGGTTGCGAATGATCGAAAAACGGAAGAAAGAGGGACGACTCATTGCCAGAGTAGACGCCACCAGAGGTAAAAGGGTACTCATACGGGTTACTAGTTGAGACAAAGAGCTTCTCGTGGTTCTCATACCGTTCCGGGTACTTGTTGTATCCTTTGCGGTTTTTCGCCCTGGCTTCCTCTACCATCAGGGCTTCTTTGGTTGCACCATTGATTTCATCTCTGGTGAACTTCTGACCACCGCAGTTGACCGGTACTGGGTATGGTGGCTGAACACAGTTGATAATGTAGGCGACAAAATGACACGCAGGAGATATGATTGCTACTCCCCGCCGTCCCATGTAGTGGTAAATCCAAAACAGCCGCCACGACGTACCCTATAAGTGGAAAGAGGAGAATGACTGAGACGGTGATATAAGAGAGTCCGTAATACGCTCGGAGCTTGAAGAGGTGAGCACTATTATCAGGACAGGGAGCACATGCTTATTTCTGGAAGTAGTGGCTAAGAATTTAAATGTCAGTATACCAGATCAACAGCAGCAGGACACAAAGCTGGGTTGGATTTGACCTACACCCGAAGCTGAATCATTTGCACCCATTATGAAAAAAACTCCAACAACACGCCATGATTTTCCATATGTTGGATTTGGGATGGTTCCAGTTCTGCCCCCAGGTTGCTGTATGACGGGGTGCTTCTATGACTTTCTAGGTTGGCCGTACTATAGAAAGCTATTGTTGTGATGATACCTCTTCATCCCGGCTTGCGTCACTAACTGATCTAGCTGTTGCTTCTGGCTTGAGGTTGTTGGCAGGCTGGTATTAAGCAGTATTGGCCATGGTGGTGCTGCCGGTCAGCAGATTGTTGAGTGAATGTAGTACACCTGTATTGAAGAGTGAAGAAAGCCAGCAGGCCTGATGTTCTGTAGTAAGCCATTGTATATACTAATAGGAGTATAAGATTATGTATACCGGATGTGACTGTAAACCCCTGACTCCACTCAATATGCAGGGATAGGTCAGTAAGTCAACTAAAACAGATACTTGACAGTGCATTGCGGCCGTCAATTCACTAAAAAAGGGTCTTTTTTAAAGAGCAACGCAACTCGGTGAGTGAGTCTCTGTTATTGGCATGTTGCGCTGAATAATGACCGGTCTTCAAGGTAGTGCTAACCGGCAAGCATCCAGGTCAAGTAGTTGTCACCCAACGCACCCAGCGACCTCAATCCTCGTTTTGTAATGCGGAAAGAATGGACGCACAAGTCGCAGAGGCTTGCTCCGATGGCAAGATCCTATTTGATAGTTAGGAAACCCTGTCAAGGTCATGGGTTGTCGGAGAATTCAGAGACTCACTCCATCCTGCGGCGCGTGTTTGCGCCCGGTTAGGAAAGTAACGTTTCTGCCTTAGGGCTAGCGGGTCCATACTGACCCACTGCAATAAGTTAGGATGGAAATAAGAATTATATTCTTAAACATAAGAGATGCCGACTTGTGACGTCTCCCAGCTCCTCATGATAATTCTTCTCTGACCCCGTTGTTGCAATTCCAGTCACTATCTTCAACTGTTACGCGCTATAATGGCAGAGCAAACCGAGAAGGAGCTCTCACACAGGTGGTATTTCAGCATAAGTTTCTTTCTAATCGCATCTTCAAAAGCAGGCCAAGACAAAAAACGTCGTGTTTGCATCACATAGATATGAACGGGAAAAATCTCCAAGCGCGATGGGATAATCTAACATGGCTCTCACAGTCGAGATTTGGTTCCCGATGTGATATCTCCTCGAAGAAACTCCCCGATCCCGCCCTCAATCGCCCATGCCTCCCTCGCTAAATCCTGCTGATTCACCGGCAATTGTTTGGTCCAGCTCATCAGTCTTTGATACACATTCCCATCACGACATCCCAGCGCGCTACAAAGACTCGCATCCGTGAAGTCCCAGGCGTCTGTCAAAGCGATGATATCAGGCAGCAGTGCCGCCAGAAGTTCGTCGATGCGCGCACGCATCTGCAGGAAGTGGTCGGCAGTCAAAATGTGGTCTTCGGCGAAGGAGGTAGAGGTGAACGATGGGCCAGGGTTGGTGATGGTCGTCAGAGCAAATAACTCCGTGAGGCGTGAGAGAACGGGGAGTAAGCTCGGCTGCGCCTGCCCGACGACTGCCACGCGACGTTGCATGAACTTCAGCACGAGGTACTCTATGTACGCATGTGCAGCGGGGAGAAGTCGTGTGAGGGATGCGTTCCATGCCTCAGCTGGGGACGAAGTGCGGGTTTGCTGTGAATAAAAGAAGTGTGCTGCAGATAGGAGTCGGTGGAAATGATGTTTGAAGATCTTAAGCAGTGTTGCTGGCTCTGAAAGCTGATCGCTTTCAGGCAGGAGGTGTGAAACCTCTTCCTTAACCTGCAGCCATTTCTGGTATCCGGAGAGAGACTCAGTCATGTCGCAGTCCAGCATCTTCCCTGCCTGAAGAACGCCAATCTGCTTGAACAGATAGCGCAGCGTCTGCTGCCACATAACATAGTTCTCGCCCTCAAAGGTCGCCGCTGCACAGGCCGTTGCGACCATCTCGGGGAGCCCCGAAATTACGAGGTATCCATGCCCTCCACACATCTTGCGCGCCTCCTCCGCCCCTGCAGCAACAGCCTGTGTGGCCCAGGCTTTCAGTCCAGCGCTGACCGCATGGATAGACGATAAGCGGCCGAGCTTTCCTTCTCTTTTTTCCTGCTGATATTCTTCGAAGCAGTCATCAAGCTCCTTTGAGGCAAAGAGGATAGCATACGCCTGGGAGATAAGAGTCAATAACCGTTGATGCTGCGTCTTGTACTCGAGAATGGCAACCTCCGGGACAGTAGGCTGAGAGAACATGAGAGCGCCCTGCTCACGCACCACTGCGTACCGCGTCGCGACGGTCAGCGGCTGCGCCAGCCCAAACGCTGCCCAGTGGATCACCACGCGCCGCACCTCCAGCATTGTCGCATAACTTTGTTTCGCCAAGTTCTCCGGGGCTCCTGCCTCATTCCGCACATAAGTTCCGTCCGGTAGCACCTGTGCGTGCGCCGCCAGCAGACTACTTCCTGGGACGCGGAGGAGATTGAAGTGTGCATAGCCATTGCACGTACCGTTATACGCCATCTTCAGGCCCAGGTCTCCCAACGTCACTCCTTTTATAGGTGTGGAGTCGGAAATATTGCGGATCTGGACCACAAACCAATGCACGCCATGGTCCACTCCCCTAGTCACCAGTCTTGCTGCGACCACTGCATGAGAGCAACTGAGCCCGAGACCCCCAGGCCAGCACTTCGTCGCGGTTACCGTCGGAGAATTGAGGACGAATTCTCCAGCGGCTGAGTCGAAGGTTGCCGTGGTTTCAATGCCACGGACGTGGCTACCGTGTCCCAGCTCTGTCTGCGCGTAGCAGCCGTTGATCTCCATGCGATCGATCAGGGGCAGCCAGTACCGTTTCTGTTCGGTGGTACCCTGTAGGTTGATCGTGCGGCGGAACATGAGGAAGTTCAAACCAAAGGGTGTGGCGTTGGTGAGTTGGCTGCGCTCGGTCAGGTTGACGAAACGGGTGTGGTTGTGCTGTAACATGTCGGTGACGATGGCGCGGCCGCGGCGCAGGCCTTCCAGGTATAGCTCCCTCCGGTTGAGGCCAGTGTGAAGGTGAGGAAGCTGCATGGTGTCGGTTATGCCTAGGGCTGATTCGACGCGAGCAAGGGCTGCACGACGGGAGGAGGTGTTCTCCTCTCTGTTCAAATAGTGCATTGGTTTAGGAGGCGCGTTTCGCGGGAAATGGTTCGGGGGCCTGTGTACCAACTTACCCGTCATGGATGATGTGCGTCAAGAGCGTTGGATCGAACGTAGACGCTTGACGAGCCTGCACCATCAAAGCCATCTGTCTATTTGGCGACATCGTGGGCACAGTGTTGAATGATGACTCCATCCTGTTCAACATCGATTCAGCTTCAAGGTATTCATATGGCCTATGGCATGAGGCAGGCACATATCAGCAGCACCTGCGCTGCAAATCAGACGTTGAGCGCAGAGATTGTGGCTTGTGGTGGGACATGTAGTGATTGGACTGCCCGAACAAGCATCAGTGTCGAGCCGAGGCAGTATTCACTGCGGTTTGTTCCAAAAGCAGCCTAGCTGGAATGTAGATGATCCTTCTCCAGCAATCAGAGCACAAAGTCTGGCATACTGGTCGGCCTGAACTAACTTGATCCAGTTAGGCTAGACACAGACTATTCACTGCCAAGGTCTTGGTTCCATGGCGCTGGGCCCATAGGCAGATCTGCTTTATCCATCAGCTGTAAGATCAAAGCAAACCTCCTCATAAAGAGTGTTATTTACACTGATGAGATAAGATTTGAATGGGAAAAGTTGTGGAATCACAGGCAACCAATCAACTGAGGTGACTAGCCTACTTCTCGAGAGACGAATCAGATGCAATTGGGTTAGAAAAAATATGTGCTGTTCACATCTTTTTCTGCTTTCCCATATAGATTGTGAATTCGTCATCTGAGATACAAGCACTTGACAGCTCTATCAAAGTACTGGGCACGTGTATACGAGATTGATAGAAGACATCATTCATTGTGAGGCTTATCCGCGGGCTTCTTTCGCAGCTTAAGTCCCTTCATCAACCACGGGTCCATCACAAGCTCCAGCGCCGTTGGACGGTCTGCAGGGTTCCATTGCAAGGCTCGCCGCAACCACCCCAAAAGCCCTTCGACATCCTCGCCATGAATATCGACGGCCAACCTCTTGAACGTTCGGTCGGGAATTGGGACCAAGTTCTTCCAGTTCCCGGCTTCATCCCAGAACACCCAGCTCATGTCCATCTTCTTAAGGAACTCCGGCGGTGGAGTCTCAAGCAAGGCAACAAGTTCTGCGATATGAGCCCCGTCGTCAAAGATGCCATCTATGACTTTACCCTCAATGATGGTGTTCGGGCTGACTAGATCCCATGCTTTCCGACTTCTGTCAGTATTCATATGAGACAAAGGAGGTATTAGTGAAGTGACTTACCACCATGGCAACACTCCAGACATCAACTTTGTAATCCCATTTTGATTTCAGGATGACTTCAGGAGCGCGATAGTAGTCGGGCATGATACTCTCGCAATGATACTCGTCATTAAAGCGGGCCTCTCCTAAATCACTAAGAAGAGGGAGACCGTCTCGGTATGTCGAGAATTGTGGAGAAAAGGGATGATTCTGGTTGGTGAGGAAGTTGAGCACAGCGATTGGATCAACGTAGGACGCGAGTATGAAGAACAAATAGCCCAAAGATTTCGCATGGTCAGTCGCCCAAAGCCAGAAGCCTCTGATAAGTCAAGTTTGCATTGATTAGATGGCCCAGCAAGAATAAATGTTGAAAGATCTAGGGGCAATGTGAAGGTTGTTGAAAGCGGCATTGAGGATGATCGCTGAGGCGGCTATTTGTGTCACATGACATGGTTATTATCACATGACGAGGCGCTGTCACACAGAATGGCATAGCAACTGCTTGGTGCATTACAGCTGCATGTTAAAGTGACACCTTGACCCTACTTGCGGGGGAGAATGGCTGTCTTACAGTGGCTCTCGCTCGCCTTTACACCCAGACCATAAGCCCAGCAGGAGAGGCATAATCATGAATCCAGCAGTCAACTATGAGTCTCCTTAGAGCCGGTGAACAAGATTGAACATCCCTTTGCGTTCCTGAAGCATGCTTTGACGAGGCCCGCGGTCATAATCGTCAGAGCATCAGGCTTTTGACTATGTCATCTTGGAAGGCTGTTGAGCCCCAATTCAAGATGCTTGAAATTTTCGAGATCAGATCAAATGCACTATCCTCTTGTGTCGTCCGCCAGATGCCAATGTTGGCCATACCATAGCTGCTCTTCGTTTCATCCCAGAAATGAGCCCACAGTTCACAGACAGGCCCTTCCGTGGTGACGGAGAAACAGAGGGACATCGGACTTAGAGACCCCCCTAGCTGAGGGCCTCGTGTTTCGAGCTGCGGCCCATCAGCAGCCCCAAAGAGAGCTTTTTGAATATTCACGGCCGAGGCACCACCCACTGCTGCTTGGTTCTGTGCTTGATAGAGATTTCCGCCGGTTGCACCCGACTTCGCCTCGACGAGGAGGAATGGAAACCGTAAGCTCAGTGGGGTCACACCGGGATCGCTGATAAGCTCACCGGTATCCTGGAGGTCGTTCAACAGGAAATCTGCATTTGCGACCCCCGCCGAATGCAGTTCTGTTGCAAGGGTTCCATCCGATAGCCCCAGGGAGATGTCGGGACGGGGATCCTTAAGGAAGAAAGGCGTTGAGGGCGTTTGCTCAGATGACACTGATAGAGCTGTGTCTCTGCGGAGAGTCGGTGCAGCTGCGGGCTGGATTGATGGAAACGAAGACGAACTTTCCAGGTTCATGCCCGGTCGAGAGCTGTCAGACTCGCCAGGCCTGTTTTGCTCGGTAAGCCGTTTCCTAGGGACAGAAGACTGGGGAATCAATGGTTGATGGACGATGGGTTTGATATCGGATATCCAATCTGTTAGGTGATTAGTGTTAGCCCTGGATTATCGAGGATAGTGAGATCGGGCAAACGTGCCCCTATTTCGCGCAATTACTAGATGTGATGACTTCAGGCCGTTCAGAGCCTCGTGTATGGACTCAGCCCACTCGGCTTCACCGGCTTGAGTGGCCGCCCACTCCATTGACTGAGATTGGAGTTTGGCTGCTAAAGTCTTGAGGGTAGCATGGTCCGCAGGGAGATAATGAAGCACGGACTTGATTCAAGTGTCAACCCTTTGAGGTGCCTTCGCATCAACATAGATTCTGGCACGGAAAAGGGTACGTGCTCGGTAGGTGGATTCGCTCGGCTTGCGTGGACTAGATGAGCGGGACCTTCTGGTGGATACCGATGATAGAGAAGGCGGAGGCAACTTTGTGGGGCCTACGTCGGGATACGAATTCGCCATACTGCCTGAAGTCTGTGATTCGAGTTGTGATAGATGCTGCCTCGTCAATGGAAGGGTAGTCGGCGAGAATGAAGTCGGAGTCAACCTGGCGTGTTTGGAATCCTGCTCATCAGGTGCGGAGGGATCTGCGTGTCGCTTCATGTTTGGTCTTTACAGGGACGTTTTATCCACCGAGTCTCGGCAAAGCGAGAGGATGTACCTCTTATCGTTGCTTGACGTGCTCGAATCGGCGAGGCGGCATAAAATGGTTAGATGACGCGGGGGCCTGTCATAGGCTTAGCTGTGGTGTTGGTGTTTGTGTTGCGAGAACACGCGGTCAGGTGATCGAGGAATTGAGTTGACGCACGTGACACAGATAAGATAAGAGCAGCACCCATAATGTGAAAGGTACAGACAGTACTGGGGGGAGAGGATCCGCGCGTGGTCGTCGGCGAAGGTTCCTCCGAAGGAGGGATGAACCGTTTTCAAGGAAATCGGAAGAAGAGGGGCGGCAAAGACAGGGAGAGAAGGGTGTTTGTGTGTGTTGACAGTACTACAACACTCTGTGGGCAGTTCATGTGGCTACAGATTGATCTGACAGATTTCTGTAGATTTCCTTTTTTTTTTCCGGGGCAATAAAGGCAAGACCACTCAATGACAACCCGGTTCTGCTAAGATAGGGTCATCTTGTCACGTGACCTAGAAGGAGCCCGTATCTGCATCCATGTCCATTGACCATTATACATACTTATGCATGGCTATATATTCATGCAGCAAGGGTCCACACGCAGCATAGCAAGCGGATGATCAAGATCCAACAAAGAACAGGTCCAGGATTGTCCAAACCTAAAATCAGTATCCACCGAGATCAAAACGAGTCGCAACCAGCAATGGAAAAAGCTCGCCTCCTGAACAAACAAGTAATTTCATTATAAAAAGAAACATTGACATTCTTTGAAGTGAGAATACTTATTCAGTAGCATAGATAACAAGTGCTTACAACACAGCTAACAAATAAAGGCATTGTCTCAGGCATCCTTTTGAGGATACCGGCGCTCTCCAGCAACGGCATTATCTTACCTTGAGTCCCAAGTACTTTCGTCCTTGAAGGAACTAGAATCAGACTATAAATCGCAGCGGGAAGCCTTGGGTCTATGCAAGTACTCGTCGGCTCTGTAAACTCTCGTCGCATACTCCAGTTTATAGTTCAAGCGTGTTTGCGCTCTCGTCCAATCGCATAGGCACCTAGGCACCTTTCGAGTCAAGCATAGAAAAAGGCATCGAGCTCGATGCCAACATGACAATCAATTCTGACAACACTATGCCTTGCACGAGCAAAAAGCGGAGACTCATCTGCAGCGAGGAGCCTGCTCGCGCGGGCAAAAGACCTCGAGCGGACTCCAAGAAGCCGCCGCCAATAACGCTCCATGGCTCCGCTCGCCATGTTGCGGCGCCTGCAAGCGCACCATTGCTTTGCACTCGGTCGTCCTTCGGCCTCTCAGAGTACGGAATCCCGGCTTCACCTCAGTTGTACTACAAAGAGGGGGTGGCTGCGCCGAGCCCCATTCAACCCCAATGGGCCGTGCGAGCCCTGGTCCACTATCACCGGGTCCCAGCTCGTCGACACAGCCTCGGCGAGCCCGGACAGGTCAATGTTCCTGTTCGTGTCAACGTCCTAAGTCTGCAGCCCATCGTGCTCTGCAGCGTGCAGCAAACCATCCCCAAAGCCGCGGTTCTGCACCCCATCACTAACCCTAACCACGCTGCGAGAAGTATCCCCGCGACCGACCCCACCCTCCTCGAGCCCCTTCGCACCCAAATCCCAAAGGAGGTCCTCCCACTCGCAGCCCGGCTGCACGAACTCCTGTACCCTAGCAAATGCCCGGCGACCGACCCACTGACCTGTGAATGCCTTCTGGCGCAGATGCAGGGCTGGTCGTCCCCTTCCGCCACCGACATCCGGCAGTATCGCCTCACCTCCGACCCCACTGCCCTAACGACTATGACCAACTTCCACTCCCGAATCATGCACTTCGTGGAAGACTACATGACCCAAACCTGGTCCACCTTCGCCCAACGCTTCCCCACCCACCCACCCACGCCCCCTTCCCGCGCGGAATACCTTCGCGTCATCCGAACCTTCTATGTCCACGAACTCTGCACCCGGGAAATGGCCCTCACGCGCCGCGGGATCCCGACCCGCGGGCCCGCGCGCGGGTTCGTCCGCGAGGAGTACAAGGCCGCCCTAGACGCCTCCTGGCGCAACCAGGTCACGCAGCTGGCAGCCTGGGAAGCGGAGCAGCTGTTCTGCGTGGCCACGTACTTGCGTGGCGTGTTCGATTCGCTCCTCGACCGCGAGCTGCATCGCGTGCGGCTGCATCGGCTCGAGGACGGGATGCGGCCGCTCCCGCGCGAAGATTGCGAGTTTCACGGCATGCCGCTACTGTACCGCGCTTGGGTGGAACGGGTTCCCGTGCAGAGGCAAAGGACGCTGCAGGCGGCGGATCGCGGATACCTCTGGTTGATTACGAGTCAGAATCTGGGGAATTTCCTGCGGACGGTGGGTGGGCATCGGAGCGCGGTGCGCTGGACCGGGAGTCTGTTTCGCGATGATGTCTCCGGGGCGCAGGCGGCGTGGCGTTGGGCGCTGGGGAAGGGCGAGGGGATTGTGTTGGTGGGGCGGAGGCGCACGGCTGAGGCCAGGGGGTGGGGGTATGTGTTTCTTGATCGGGAGCGGTTGGCGAGGCATGGGTCTTTGACGGGGCCTTTTGTGCGGATGGGAGGGGCTAGTGAGGAGTGAGGTGGTGGTGTTTCTTACGTTCCTGCGATGGCAGTTGAAATATACATCTTTCGAACAATTGCTGTTCTTCAAGTTCGTTTATGAATTTGTGCATCGCTCATATAATATGTCGTAACCGTAGCCGTAACCATAACCTAGTCTATACACGACCCCTATCCCATACCCCAACCAACCCACAACCCCCCACCCCCTATACATCCCCCGATGATCTACAAAACCGTCCCTCTCACCTGTCTGACCCCCCTCAACCGAATATCTCTCCACATCGCTACCCCAAAAACAGCCGCCGGCAACACCGCCAACCCAACGATGAGCATCCTCTTCTGCGCCACGCCGTAGGCTCTAACGGTCGCCTCGCGCTCCTCCGTCCCCGGCGCAAACTCCAACACCCGCGCAATAGAGCCGTACAACTCCGCCGCCAGATACTTCTTCTCGTCGGGCAGGTACTTCTCGATATACACCGGGACGGTACTCGTCCAGATCGCGCCGGAGATGGCCGCGCCGACCGCGGACCCGATCTTCGACCCCAGCCCGACCAGCGCGAAGGACACGGCGATCGTCTCGTGGTTGCCCGTCGCCAGCCCCGCGATCTCCTGGCAGATGACCAGCGTGCCGCCCGCGACGGCCTTGAGGATCTCGCAGGCGATCACGGCGGTGATGTGGCTCGTGGGCGAGCGGAAGGGGATCATCAGGGCGGTGCCCAGGATGAAAAGGGGGAGGGCGGTTAGGGCGGGGGTTTTGAAGCGGTTGATGTTACGAATTAAGCTGCATTTGTTAGTAAACATCTCATGACGAGGGGAGGTGGGGTTGGGGAATCAGAGTTGAAGCGCACGTACATCCCCACCGGAATCGAGATGATACAGCTGCCGATGCTGTAGATGTTGTAGATGTAGCCCGTGTCGCGGATGCTGGTGTTGAAGACGACTTGCAGGTACGAGGAGAAGTAGAGGTCCCAGCAGCTGTACCGGTGATTAGCACGTCAAAGAGGGAAAGGGAAATCGAGGCTAAGAAAGGCGTACTAGAAGCTCATGAACATCGCGCATGCGAGAAGAAACGCGCCCAGGAGCGTCGGGTCCCGCAGCCGGCTGTACGGGATAAAGCACACCGGGGCCCCCGAGCGCTCCCAGAACAGAAACCCGACCACGCTCAGAACACCCAGTACGATCATCGCGATGATGTCCGGCGCCAGCCACCGGTCGAGCAGGGACGTGCTCCACATGTTGGTCCCGGAGGTGGCGAGGGTCAACGGCAGCAAGATCAGGACAAAGCCGGCGGTGATGAGCAGCATTCCGATGGCTGTGCTTGTTAGTACTGTGCTGTGCATCGTCCTCAGAGGCATAACGTACGGTCGAATTCCACGACATAATGAATGATCGTCTCCATCCGCGTCCGGTTTTGCGGCTTCGGCTTGATGACGCCCGCCGATTGGGCCTTCTTGCGCGTGCTCCAGAGGAGGAGTAGGAGTGGTGCGGTGACAAGAGGGGTAAGCACGGCGAAGATGCCGAAGCCGGTGTACAGGCCATCGCGTTCGTAGAGGAACTGCGCAGCTGCCGGGCCGATGAAGGTGGTGATCACGTAGGGAAACGAGGCGATGCCGTAGACGAAGGCCCGGTTGACGAGTTCGGTGGTGTCGGACATGAAGACGTGCAGGACGTAATCCATGCCGTTGTAGCCGACCCAGTAGATGATCTGAACTTGGGTTAGGATGGTCCCGCGGAAGGGATGGGGGGTGGATGAATCTACCTGTGCCGCCACATAGGTTTCGACATTACGACAGGCAGCCATCAGGACTAGTCCTGGTGATGGTCAGTATACAGCAACCTCCGTTGTGATCAAGCAACCTACCCAGGGTGCACAAAGCGACCATAGCTGCAAAGCCCTCGGGCCGGCCCAGAATGTCGATCAACTTGGCGATCGGCAGTTTCGACACCCCGCCGATGATGCTCGTCAATACGTTGGTCATGGCGATGAGCGAGTGGTCGGTGAACTCGGAATAGACATAGGGACTCAGACTGCTGGTCGTTTGCTGCTGCAGGGAGTTGACAAAGAAGATGATGAAGACCCTACGAAGTTAGAGGGGACTTGACGAGGCTGCGGGGAACATACAGTGCGTAACCCGTATACAGGGTCCGGGTGGACCAGACCGAAGCCAGGGCCTCGATCTCCGCGACTCCATGAGAGGTGTGCTCTGGGGAGGACAAATCCGGGCCATCAGGGATGGGCTCGTAGCCATCGTCTCGTGGCGCGGGAACATCCGCAGGATGCGTGCGGCGGATTTCTTCAAGAATCTCCCTGGCTTCGTGGTACTTGCTCCGCAAGAACCCGAGCATGGTGGGAGACTGTTGTTGCAGTTTGTGTTGCAGCGTGCAGACGGTTCCACGGAACCAGAAATTTACTGTGAAAGATTCAGGAGACGCGATGAAAAAGAGTTGCAGCGGCCAGCGCTTGATGCGACTACATGAGAACGATCGAGATCGATAGGAGTGTGCAAGAGGGGGGTGTCATCAGATATAGGAAGGGTAGACTTGCAGTCAATGCTGACCGCTTGTATTGCGGAAGAGGGAAAGAAAGCAGAGACTGCTTTCAGGCTAGGTGAGGCAGCCAATCACACGCGTGACTCAGTCCCCCGTAGGTGGATCCCAGCATTAGTCGCCCCCAACCGGGCGGTCATTGGCGGGAGAACCGAAAAACAAAAGGCAAGATTATCAGATGAGAATCCCATCTGATAAGATCTGGTCGCGCAACTCGGATCCCTCGGCATGATTGATGAATTGACAGTTACCCCGCTCAAGCACGAGTACTCTCCAATAGTCTTATTACTGAAGCCTCATCATCCATCTTCTCCGACCGTAGGAGAATACTGAAGCTACTATGCGGTAGAGCTCATAAGCCCGTGGAAATCCTCTCAATAATCTGCCGCAAATACGGTACAGTGACATGAGCAAACTCTCGCAGCCTTTGTTTTCTAATGCAAGAACCCCAAGTCCAACATCTATTCACACATTTCATACAGCGAATCCTCACTCCGCTATCATCCCACAACTGCACTCAGCAACCCTCCCCCCCACAGCATTTCGCATCCCGCAAAACCTCCAACCGACAAAAACACGAAGCCCGAATCGGAATATCCGCGCCGGCCAACGCAACATTCCTCGCCGGCTCGATCGCCTTCGCCTCTTCCGTCTTGCCCAACCGCACCAAGCACTCATGATACCCATGCAACGCCCAGACATTGTTGGGATGCCTCCGCGGGCGGATTAGCGACTCATCAAGCCCCAGATCGGCGCGGTACGTGCGGGCCGCCTCCTCGACCTCGCCCTGCTCCAGCTTGAGGGCGGCGTACGCGTGACGCACGGGCTGCATCCACGCCCACGGCTCGCTGTAAGGCAGCCGGTCCTCGAGCTCGATTGCCTCCTGCAGCGCCGCGAAGGCCACTTCGTAGTTGCCGGCGCGGTACTCAATCTCTCCCGTCAGCATGGGGATGCCTACGGCCAGCATGTCGAGGGCTTTGCTGTTGTACGCCCGGCGGGTGGGGGGTACCCGTTCACGGGCAGCGAGGAAGAGGGCTTGTTCGCTCCGGGCGGAGGGGATATCGTTGGTGGCGGCGTGGGCGAGCGCGCGGGCATAGTGTGTGGTGGCGGTGGTGATGGCGTAGAGGGCTTGGTCTTCTGGCAGTGGCATCTGCTTGAGTTCCTCCCACATGCCGAATCGCACCATTATGTGCAGCCGGATGGCGACAAAGTGCTCGATCCAGTCGGCCATCGGCGGGGATTGCGTGCGGAGGAGGGACTCCGGGATGCTGGCTTCCATCCGGGTGACGGCGTCCAAGGCGGTGCGCTTCTGGCCCGCGAACATGGCGGCGTAGACCAGGGAGTGGTAGTCGTGTAGTCGATAGAAGGTGTAGAAGTTGTTGTGGCCGGCTTTGGCGGCGTAGCGGTCGTCAGCTAGCGTGGAGCGGTAGTTGGACCGGATCGAGGCGCGCCAGTCTCCGATCAGGATGTCCAGGTGCGTGGGCATGTGGTGCATGTGTCCGGCGTCGGGGACGAGATCGCGCAGGTGGTCTGCAGCGTAGATGCCTTTCTCGGGGGTGGGAGACATCTCGATGAAGTGGATGTATAGGTGCAACAGGCCCGGGTGGCGGTAGGCCCCTGTCTGTGTGAGGGCAGTCTGGAGCACAGTCTGAACTTCCGTAGTTCGGGCCTTTGGGTTGGCCTTGCCAGTGAAAAGGTCCCAGAGGGCCCAGGGGGTGACATTCATGAGGGCGTCGGCGTAGAGGGTGGCGATGTCGAGGTCAGAGCCGAATTGCTCGTACACTGGCTTCATCGCGTCGGCGTAGGCGCAGTTGACGGTGCCGTAGTCTTCCGGGCTCAAGGGAGTGTCGCGAGGGAATCGCTCAACGATTGCCTTGCAGAGGCCCTGCTCGAGGGGAGAGGAGTGCCTGCAAAGCTCCAGGGCCTTTTGAGATGCTTCGTGGCCGCGCTGGACGCAGATGTGCAGATCTTTCCGATCGAAGCGTTCCCATGCCTTGTTGTAGTTGGGTCCAACGGCGTATGCGAGCCCCCAATAGCCCATGGCAAAGAACGGATCATGCTGGATGGCTTGTTCGAAGCAATGGACAGCTTCGCCGTGGTGGAAGGAGTAGACCCAGACGAGGCCGCGGTTGAACCAGAGGCGCGCATCCTCGCTGGTGGTGGTGACGGCGCGTGAATGAGTGCCCAGGTCGAAGTAGTCGGCGCTGGCAGGAACCGGCTCGCGCGTCATTTTGTGGACTGGTGAGATTCAGAGACTGATATGGTATTGGTGATGGTGAGGCCTGTAGAGGAGGACGATGCATTAAATAGCAGCAAAAACCCCACTCGGTTCTGGTAAGGCGCGACGATAAGGCGGGGCGATCAGAATGCCAAAGACCGACCAGACGCCGAATACGTCGAGTCGTACGATTCACCTCTCGACCTTGATGCCGCGATTTCAACTAGATCTTATGGGTAGACTCGCATATGACTGGATCGACTCGGCTTTAGTTAAGCATAAAATATCTGAAGTCAGCATTTATGCATGGTTTTGTGAAGGAATCTTGACTCGGCGATTGGTTTCAATGCCAAGACCCAGGATCAAGGCATCAAAGGCCGAGTGAATCCGCTCACACCGATTGGCCAATTATCTCCAATCCTTCCGCATCTCAATCTGTCTTTTCTTATCGGTCGCCGTTCCGATGATTCCATGTCTGGATTTTCCGAGTACTTCCCCGCGCTGATTACTTACCACTCCCACGGACATGTTGTGTCACTGTCAGCTAGTGATACAGTAATCTTCCTCACCTACACTTACTCTCATCGAGACTCTCTCCATCCTCACCCTACCAACTACAGCTTTCACACAAATGACCACCCCAACCACCCGACAATGGCTCGCATCCCTCCTCGAGCCCGGCCAAATCCTGTCCATGGCCGTAAAAAGTACACCTGCGCCGTCTCCTCGTTGATAAACCTTACTAACCTGATCACACTAGGCTACCTGATTGTATGCCTGGAGGCCATACTGGAAGGCCGCATCCTCGCCCCTCTCCTTGAAACCCAGCGCCTGCGTGACGAAGCCTTCGGGCGCTTCTGGGTTGCGTTTAGCGGTACTCTTCCCTCTTTCCCCTTTCATCCCTCTGATGTGTACGATATTAAGCATAAGAATAGCACCACCCCAATCCACCCAACCCACCACCAATGACGAGCAAGGGCAGCAGCAACAACAACAACAACCAACCCAAGACCAACCAGCAGAACCAACAGCAATCCAAGGCTCCGCCGACCTCATCCCGCCCCTCCTCGCCACAGCGCGCGGCATCACCCTCGACCTCGGCCCCGGCACAGGCACGCAGATGCCCCACCTCCGGTCGCCGGCCATCACCGCCCTCTACGGGGTCGAACCCTGCCATCATCTGCACGCGACTCTCCGCGTCCGGGCCGAGACGGAAGGCGTCAGCGAGAAGTATACGATTCTCGGGTGTAGTGCTGCGCCGGATCAGCTGGTGCCTGTGTTGCAGCAGCGGGGTTTGGTCGCAGCGGTCGATACCATCCTCTGCGTGCGGGTGCTGTGCTCGGTGCCGGATTTGGAGGGCACGGTGCGCGGGCTGTATTCGCTGCTGAAGCCGGGTGGGAGGGTGATTGTTGTGGAGCATGTGGTTAATTCGGGACTTCAAGGGTTCTTGGGTGGGAAAGGAGAGGGGAAAGAGGAGAGGACGGGGTCCGTCGTGGCTAGGGTCGTGCAGGGGCTGTATGAGTTGCTGGGATGGCGGTGGTTTGTGGGGGATTGTTGTCTGACGAGGGATACGGAGGGGGCACTGAGGGGGGCTGCCGCGGAGGATGGCGGGTGGGAAAGGGTCGAGCTGCGAAGGTATTTTGGGGAGGGGGTCATGCCATATGTTGCTGGAGTTTTGGTCAAGAAGGGGAGAACAGAGGGGAAGAAAGAGGGGACAGTTGATGAGGGATTGCGGAGGAGGTAAACAAATTCTAATCGTAAGGTGCAGGTTCATATTCGCTTTATAATTGAGTGCACTTGTCACGTTGAGTTGAATTAGGGTTAGCTCCTGATGGGAATGTGGCCTATGGCAGAGCTTGACATGATCACCCAGAAGGATTAGAATAATATCACACGACTCACTACAACTTGGCTGGAAAATCTACAGTACATGAATTTGGTCTATGATTGTGCACCAGGGGCGAGCATCAAACATAAATTGCATTTCACATCCAGCCCTTGGATCTCAGACACTACCCCTCAACACCCAGCAACTATACATATCACCTCGAGACCAACCCCTCCCACCACACCTACTCACTCGGCTCACTAAACACGGTGCTAAACGCCGCCGGCGTCTCAAACACGGGCTTGCCCCCACTCACCCCCAACGGCTGCACCATCGTATACCGCGTATCATCGCATGCTCCGGCGCTGCTATTCGACGCGTGGTACGCAATCCACGTCTCCGTGGCATCGGGGCTCTGGAAGAAGCTGTTGTGGCCGGTACCGTAGTTGCCGTTGGCCGAGGACAGCGCGCAGCTATCGCCCTTGGTCCAGGCGCTGCGGGAGGTGGGGTCGGTCGTGCCGTCCCAGGTCAGCAGGGCGACGCAGTAGTACGGGGTCCAGCAGTACGAGGCCGAGTAGGCGAGGTAGGTGGTGCCGGAGATGTAGAGGGCGGCGGGCCCCTCGTTGACGGGGGTGCCGTGGGTCTCGAAGCTCTCGGTCGGCTCAGAGATGACGCTGATGCTGCCGGTCAGGCTGACGTAGTCGTCGCCCAGTTTCTGGATGCAGAGCGACTGGTAGGTCACGCCGTGGAAGCAGGAGAAGACCAGGTAGTTGCCATAGGCATTGGTGCGGAGGACGGTCGCGTCGATGGACCATTCGGTCGTCAGCTGGCCGGTGTAGGTGTAGTCATCCCAGGGAGTGGAGCCGCCTGATATTACAGTTAGTTGGGGGTTTCAAGGGAGGGGCGGTAGGCTGCTAACCCGTGAGGACGTGGAGACGCTGGCCGTCCAGGTCGGTCGTCTCCCCTGCGGTGTAGTAGATGTACCACTTGCCACCCAGGTAGTGGACCTCCGGTGCCCAGACGTTGCAGCAGCGGCCGGCAGTGGAGGTGGAGTAGACGACCTTCTTTTCGGCGGTCTTGAGGCCGTCGATGGTGGTGGCCCGGCTGATCTCGAGGTCCGTCCAGGTGGTGGTCATCAGATAGTAGTATCCCCCGGTGTACACCAGGAAGGGATCGGAGCCCCCGGGGTTACGGATCGGGTTCGTATAGGCCCCAGCTGTAGGCAGGAGGGCCCACAACCCGAGCAGGGCCGTCAGCAAGCGGGTGATAATCGATTGAAACTGCATTTTGGTGGGTTGGAGTCTGCAGCTGCGATTTCCTTTTGTTTGTTGATGCCCATAGTGACTGTTATATAGACAGCATTGTAACTGCCAAGATTCACCCCACGGGGATTGAGTCGCGATGATGTCCGTGGTTGATGTCTCCCACCGGAGAGATACCCTTCGCAGTATAATGCTCATCGGATGCTGAATGCGGGGGGGATGTATTCACGGCAATGCCGAGGCTTGGCAAAGGGTATTTCCACCACTCCCGCTGCCACGCCCAGCCTGCTGGTAGGCATTGAGGATTCATCTAACCACGTTGAATGCGCCATGACGTTCTGCATCAGAGGGACAAGCATAATCCGGCCACGTGATTCCAACGACCTTTTCCTTTTGTTTACATACAGGAACCTGGCTAGTTTCACCGACCAAAAAAACACCAAGAAAATCAAGGATACATTCCAGCACCTCTCCTCGAAAGCATCAAAGTCGTCGTCAAAGCAACATTGCCTTGGATGGTGAGCATCATATGGGTAGAGTCATTCCGAACTGATACCGATCAGACCATCTCGATCCAGGCAGGAAGTGTTCAATCACACTCTGACCAACCTCAAATACTCAAATAAATATCTGAGTCCAAGCATGCAATTAGTGTTCTTGGATGTTGCTGTTAAGATATGTCGGCGTCATCTAGAGTTAAGCATGAGATGGCCGCTGCGTCTGCCTTTATATATATATATCCACCCGCCAAAGAGCACATTCGCACACCGAAGGCACCAGAGCGTAATCCATGATCTACACAGCCATTGCCTTCGCACCAATGTCGATCGTCAGTCCAGTAAAACAATACTTATTCAACATACTCTGAGTATACACTTCGACATTCCGATGGTAAATAACAACCGAGAACACAAATAATGTCTCAGCCTAGAGCCTTGAAGCCTCGAAGAAATTACCTAGAAGAGCCACGCCGCAAAGCCGACCGGAGCCGGATCGGACCCTTTGACTTGACGCTAGGCCCGATCTAGCACGCATCGTCCGGTTCCATGGAATCACTGCGCCATGCCGATCTTTACGCTTTTGATGACAGCGGCTGCAAAAATGACAAACAGCACGGCGGCACTGGCCCGCCAATAACGCCACGCTGCCGAGTACTGCAGCCACGCACAAGTGCTTTATTCATGGATTCATTAGTGCTCCGTCCAGTACAGTACAGAGCAGAAGATTTCGAAGGTTGGCTGAAGCTTTAGACCATCTCACGATTCAAACTTATCGACATGCCTTGAACTCATTAACAAACATTACGTCTATTTTGGTATTACACATATTCTATCCGCGCTGCGAAAGAGTGACCTGCGCCTGCACTCGGGGAGTGGGGAAATACTGGCGACCGAAAACAGCATCGAACAATCCATCTCCGTCTATACTTGAGCCGCCGTGTCGGGAATGCTCACTGAAAAGCAGCAAAGCAGGTGCTGTTGGCCTGGCTCTCCTGCCAGCCAATGCACTTCCAGCAGCTCAACAACCCCGAGGGGTCGTACTTGTGCTTGATGGTCAGCAGCTTGTCGTAGTTCTCGGTACCCCACCAGGCCTCGCGCCAATCCTCGGTGAACGGGTTGGCCTCGTTACTGTAGGCACCGCTGCCCGGGGTGATGCGCTCCAGGGTGGCCGTCATGTTCTGCAGGGTGGCGATCTTGGCCTCGCGAGTCGCGAGGGTGCTGTTCCACGCCCAGGCGCTGCCGGAGCCCAGCTCCCACACGGCCTGGCGCCAGGCCGGGGTGGCACTGGTCGATCCCTCCGTGTAGTTATACAAGACCGGGCCGACCACCGGGATGTACGGGGTCTGGCCGTTCTGCTGGATCAGCTTGAAGAAGTCCATCAGGTTCTCGCGCCCCTCGGCCGTCTCGAACACGGCGCGCGGCACCAGACGGCTGCCGGCGAAGTGGGTGACGCCCACGCTGACGGCCTCCGAGGTCACGTACGTCGAGTAGAAGTCGTACCACGAGGCGAAGTGCTCGATCACGGCGGAACCACCCTGGGCCTGGGCGTAGGCGATCACCGAGGCGAGGGACCGCTTGGCCTGAGCGACCGTCATCAGGGGAGAGACGTTGATCAAGGTGCTGCCGGTGATGTGGCCACCCCAACCTTCCTCGGCCCAGCGCAGGGTGTTGTTAACGATGATGTCCATCCAGGGGAGCACGTTGGTGGAGTTGCTGGTGAACTTGACAATGGCCGCCGTGAACCCGAAGCGCGGCTCCACGCGGTGGGTGCTCTCGAGCACCACACCGAACGTACCACCGCCACCACCGCGGAGAGCCCAGAAGAGGTCCGGGTTCTGGCATTCGTTGGCGATGCGCAGGTTGCCGTCGGGAGTCACGACCTTGTACTGCACGACGCGGTCGACACCCAAACCGTAAACGGGGGAGAGCACGGAGTGGCCGCCCATCTGCACCCAGCCGCCGGACAGGCCGACCGTGGGGGAGTAGCCGCCCAGGATGGTGACGTTGTGGTCATGGGCGAAGGCGTAGGCCTCGTCGAAGTTGACCCCGGCACCGGCAGTGATGGCGTTGTAGGTGGTGGTGGAGTTGGCGGGGCAGCCCTTGGGGACGAAGCGCGCGTGGTAGCTCATGTCCTGCAGGTTACGGGTCCACAGCTGCAGAGTGCCCTTGCCACTGCTACGGCCCAGGTAGTCGTGGCCGCTGTTCTTGATGACAACGCGCACTCCGGAGCAGCGCGAGTACTCGAGGGCGGCGCTCACGTCGGTGGCATCGTGAACCTCGAGGTAGTAGGAGGGCATGTTGCCCTGGCGGCAGTCGGTGCCATTGAAGGCCAGCGGATCGGTGGGATCGCTGCTGTCCAGCACGCACTGATCCTGGGGGTTGGACGAGCACATCTCATCCTGGTAGTTCATGTACCCATTGGGGGTGTTGGTGCGCAGGTAGGGGTCGCTGTAGTTGGCCTGGATGGTGGCACAGGCGGCATCGTTGGGGGTGACGGGGTGGCCATTGTAGCTGGAGAAACAGGGGAGGGAGAAGGGCGTGAGAGGCTGGACACGACCGCCGACTGTCGTGTTCAGCGCACTCAGGCTGCAGTTGCTGCAGCTCGCAGCGGCCAGGCCCAAGAATTGGACCGCCAATGCGGCATACGACATCTTGTTCCCCGAAGACGCCATCTTTCTGTGTTCTCTGCCACGTGTGAATGAGACAATTGAGAATGGAGATGGGGAATGGCTTGGGTTGAGGAAGAAAAAAATTGGGCAATGCCCCCGACGATCCCGCGTCAATTTATTTCTCAGAAAGGGACCAACTGCAAGGGAGAAAATCCAAGGCAAAAATGAAAGTCGGGTAGCGGCACGTTCCGCACGAGGTCTGGCTGGCCAGTGTCTCTCCCGATCGCGGAGGATGGCGCAGGCTATTGAATTGCACGACTCAGGAAGTGGAGGAATCCTGGGGACTGGGAGGAATGCGATAGAATCCGACCTCCGACTCTGTTCGACGCTAGGCTACTGACTACTGTAGTACCGAGGGAGCAAGAGGCCGTGAGAAGAGAGAAACAGGGAGGCACCAGGAGATGCTACTGAGTAGACTAATTCCACCCAGGACGATGACCCACAGCGAGCTCCACTGCCTTCTAGTCTTGCCTGTCGTCTTCAGCGAGTTTGTTTAAGGTTTCGAACGATGATTCGTGGCGTGGGCTTCGTTGGGCGCCACCACGCTTAACTGTCTTTAGGGCTCGGCCGTCCTCCGAAGCCAGGTCTCCGCAATCGACTGATATAGACTCCCTCTATAGCCTCGGACCTGCATGCCTTTGCAGTCAAGTGTAACTCCTGCCAGCCAACCGGTGTCTCAGATAGATTATCCCACGCACACAGCTTCCCATTTGTCGCCCTGGTGCGATGGTTCCTGCAGGGAAAATTCGCTTTCCTCCCCCTGAAAGGCACGGCATCCCTGTCTAGCCACGACTGCCACGACTGCCACGCGATCATTCCACCCCTTCTAGACTACGATGCTGCATGACGATCTTAAGCGCCCCCAGAATCTTATAAGACTCTCGTTCCTGGGGATGGAAGAATCGTGCGGATCAACACTGCAGAACTAAATGAGACTGGGGAAAGCCAGAGCTCCATGGCAGCATGGCTTGATCGATTACCTCAAAACACGGTTCAGGTCTCGTTGAAGACAGAGAATTTCAAACTCCGCCCTGGAGGAATTCCCACAAGCTTAACGCAGCGACAGCCATGGAAAGAAATTCAATAGTCGAGGATTAGAGAGCCCATTCGGACCCTCCCTTGCGAGCGGTGCGTGGTCCGAGGAAACCCATGACAAATGAGCGTGGATTTTCCACTCCCCTCCCCTCCCTTCCTGTCTTCCTCCGGTCGGAGATTCAGCTTTTGTGCCAGAAACCGAAGACCCAAACCTGTCCTTTAAGGTTTGGTGGCGACGCCAGCATAATTCTAAATTTTCCAATAATCTAAGAATATTAATTAAGGTCACCGAGCGATCCTCAAAGGGGACCAGGCCGATTCACTTTAAACTTCCCCTCCGCCAAAAATTTCCCACAATTTTCCGTACATGGAACTGTGCTTTGCCCCGTTGTCGTCCATCATCTCGAAGGGCTGACTCGCACAGTTTGGCAACGCAGGATGACTTGGGAAGAGAATAGATACTGGAAAAATGCGTTGACCATCGTCCCGATCGTGGGAGCTGCCTTCGCGACTGTCACTTATGCCCTGCGCCTGTACTCGCGGCGGTATACCACCGCTGGCTTGAAGTTGGAGGATTTGCTGATGGGCGTGGGGTTGATTCTGTCTTACTGCGCGACTGCCTTCGTGGTGGATAGTGAGTTTGCCTTGCCTGTGTTCTGAGGGACTTTTGGGATGCAATGCTGACACGGTGGATTTTGCAGCTGCGTTCAATGGGGTTGGAATCTCTGTCTCGTCCCTCCCGCCCAAGGAGCGTCGTCGGATTCAATTTGTATGTGCATAAGCCAATCTTCAGCGATCATCATTGACACTTTTTCTAAACCGTTGCACCCACAGGGATCATGGATGATTCAGAAATTCTGGGCGCCGTCCGCCGCGTTCATCAAGATCAGCATCATCGTGTTTCTGCGACGCCTACTCGGCACCCTGCGCACGTACACCCTCATCTCTAACGGGTTGATCATCTTCATCGCCGGCTGGGCCGTCACAGCCCTGCTCGTAAATATCTTCCAGTGCATTCCTGTCCAATACTACTACGACAAAACGTTGAACGGCCACTGCATGGCGGGCCAGCGGGCCTTCTTCCAGGCGATGGGCTCGATTGCTCTTGTGGAGGATGTGATCATCCTGCTTCTTCCGGCGCCGGTGGTCTGGGGGCTTCAGATCACTATACGACAGAAGATCGCCTTGACCATGGTCTTTTCTCTGGGTGGATTGTGAGTTTACTTGCAACTAGCGAGGGAACCTCCAACTAATCATGCTTAGGGTCTGCATCTTCAGCCTGATGCGACTGATTGAATTCCGCAAATTCATCACCACCGATCTCGCCTGTAAGCCAGCGGCCTCCTTGCCCTAGTTGCCCAACCTCGAAGAATTCTAACCACCCCACAGCGTCGAGTGCCAAAGAATCCCTCTGGACATGTCTGGAACTCGACATCGCGATCATCTGCGGCTGCCTGCCGCTGCTGAAGCCCCTGCTGCAGGGCTTCTTGGGCAAGGTCAAGTCCGGGGTGTCAAAGGGCCGGTCGCACCCTTCCTCCGGCACGAAGCTGTACGGCTACCAGACGAGCAACACCCACCACGACGGGTTCCTACAGATTAACGACCTGCATGGGTCGCAGCTGTCCAAGGGGGCGAATGTCGCCGCCGGCGCCAGTCGCAATAGCTCGGATGTGGAATTGCAAGGCATCGCGGTACACACCGTCATCGAGCAGGACGTGGACGACCATCCGCAGTTGTCCTCGTCGGAAACGGTGTCGAATCACGGGTGGCCTCGATGAGTCAGCTCTCATGGCATGACGCGATTGTGCGACAAATTGTGCCGCGCAAACGATTGAAACAACAGCAATTTCCTAAGCTGGTATCTGGGGTCTGGCCCGTATCAGGCGATGTGCGTACTGTGCCTGTGCTCAACCCGTCATTTCCGCGCCCAGGACCACCACCAGTTGGTGGACACTTGCACTCCCGAGTGTCCACATCCACTCCTTCACTTCATGAACACACCAACCTTCCCTAGCATCAAATCTAATGTCGATGATACCCTTTTAGAACTTTACTTCTTGTCTACCGTTCCGTGTCTTATGATCCTTCAATCCCTCGTAAAATTGATCCTGGCCGAATCCTATTCAATCAAACACCGCACGATGCGACACAAGGATCCGAGAAAAAAAAAGGCTAAATAAAAGCCCAAGCCGCCGCTAGTCTCACCCCAAAAGATTTTTTTTTCTGAGGTGCAAATCCACGACGCGCATGATGTCACACCGCAGCGATCCCGGCTCCCCCCGGGAGCAGACAAAGAGAGAGGCACGCAATCGATCGCCAGCCCGGGACCTGTTCCACGGTTCGCATGTCCGTGGTCAGACCAGAGTCTATTGTGGCAGGTAGCCATGGATCGGGGGATTGTCCGGGGAAGAATTTCTCCCGGTGGGGCGAGTGTTTCGTGCCGCGACAACTTCTGACAACTGCGTCTGGTCTGTGACACGCTGAGCCGTGGGATAGGTTTTCTGAGGGAGCGTTGATCGGAGGTCTTTAGATATCTGATGCTGTTGCCCTACTGGTGCAATCCTGTAGATGTACCTCAAGGTGAAGTAATGCACACTGTCGTAGTGAATTGATTGCTGCTGCATTAGACCAGCGACCGGAGCAGCCCGATTGAGAGAGGATCGGCATGCCGAGGATTTGGATTTCTGGTTCCGATTTATGCCCGAGCCCTTGCGATCCACCAGGCCCCGAAGAGAGATAAGAATCTCCAACAGAGGGAATCGAACCCCGGCGGTCGGGTGAGAGACGGTCTGTATACTCCATTTTGTGTGTCGGCTGTTGATCAATGCGAAATCCCGCTGGAGGGGGCTCATGATCTAGTATACAGCTTAACGCAGACTAGGATTTTGACTCAAGGTCAGAAAGAATACACTCGCTTTATCTCAAGCAAAGTTAATCCAGTAACGGTACCTCCGTACTTCCCTCAAACTGAGGAAGCCAGGCCAAGGCTACGTATCATGTCGCGTTAACACGCGGTCGACTCGTCCGTAGACGTATCAGATCATCACTTTGTAAGCTAATATATGGTCGATAGCTCGGTCGCTACGGCACGATGAATACATAATCATCACTGGTCGTCACCTACAGTTCGATGATGGCAAACAAGCTTCAATGATTGGATGGACCAAACGACTGCTAGCCTATATTGTGCGTCAAAGCCGATACAGCAGCATATGCCTTTACCCTGAGAAGAAGCTCTACTATCACTAGATCGCCTACACGCCCCTTGTAATAGACGCTGGCCCCAGAGCCCAGAACGTAGACACTCTTCACCCAAGCACTAGCTCATTGCGCATTGGAACTTCCCATCTGCAGTCTATTCACCCTCGCAGTAATCATATCGGTCAGTAGGTCATACCCATATCGTTCAGCGACCTCGTCCGCGACCCCCTGGAGCTCTTGACGCAAATCCTCATCGTCAGTGCATCCAAAGGGATACTGACTCATCAGCAATTCGACCATATAGTCATGGCCTGCCTCGCAGGCTGAATCAATCGCTCGGAGGATATGATCTTTCTTGGTTTCGGCAGATACAGCATCTTTCTCCAAGAGTAACCGTACAATTTCCACTTGGCCATGGTCTGCCGCATGTCGTAGTGGAGGATACTCGCAGCAGCTATACTCATTCGAGTACGGGTCCGCGCCCTTTTCGAGGAGCAGTTTGAAAAATTCCATGTCATGCTGGCTGATGGCTTCCATTAGCGGCGACGACTCCTGGCCTTCCTCGATCATGGCACCCTTCTCCAATAACAGCAACACCGATGATACATCGCCTCTCTCAGCAGCATAGCAGATTGGCGTCCGTCCGTTTAAGTCGGCATCATTTGGATCGGCCCCTGCATCTAAGAGAAGGGCCACAACCGATTCGCACGATGCAGAGAGTAGTGCCGTCATGTCCACCTCATTCTTTCTGTTGACGTCGACGTTCTTGCCCAGCAGGATGCGCACCACCTCGGAATGGTCTTTCTCAGCAGCCAGCATGAGCGGGGTCCAACCATCTTCATCCACAGGATCCGAGTCAGCACCCGCCTCTATTAGGGCTTCCACAACCCCCACCAGGCCATGGCTTGCGGCCCACGCGAGCGCAGTCATACCATTCTCATCCTGGTGATTCACATCCGCTCCCTGCTCAATCAGCAAAATCGCATCCTCCTCGCGCTCACTTCGGATGGCCCAGATCAAGACCTCGCCGTCCTGGGGATTGTTGAGATCAAACCCAGGGGTGATGGTCTTAAAAACTGCGCGCAGGTCGGCCAGCTTCGCAGCGGGAGGACGTGCAGCCAATTCATCATTGATATCTTTGATCGACTTTCCTCGAAGGAGCTGAACAACACCATCATGGCCAGCCTCGAACGCCGCCTCGAACGGCGTCTGACCATCGCTGTCTTGGACGTCCAGGCACGCATCTCTCTCCAACAGCAGCTTGACAATGTCCGCATGTCCTTTTCGTGCACCCAACGCCATCGGTGTCCGCTGACATTCATCCCCAACATCCACCGCAGCATTGTGCTCCAGTAAGACCCGGACGATCCCCTCATAACCACGTCTGGCCGCCCAGGACAACGCCGTCCCGCCATAGCGCCAGTCCCGCGCGTCCGGATCCGCCCCGGCCTGCAGCAGCATGGTGACCAGCGACTCCGAGCAGCCCCGCTGCGCCGCCGCGATCAGCGGCGATCGCCCCTGAAAATCAGCCTGGTCGACCCGGGCGCCCGCGTCCAGCAGTAGCTTGACAGTATCCTCGTCTCTGGTGGCAATGGCGTGCAACAAGGGCGTTCGACCGCCCGCATCGGAGGTGTCGGGATCGGCGTTGCGTTGTAGGAGCAGTCGCACCGCATCTACATGACCCTTGGCCACGGCCCACGCCAGGCAGCTCCGTCCGAACTCCGTGTCACAAGCATTTACCTCGTCGCTGTTTTGCAGGTGTTGTTTGAGGTTGACGGTTTGTCCGCTCGCGGCGGCGAGGAGGATCGGCGCCTCCCATGGACAGAGGTCGTCGGGCATTTGGGGTCTTTGTCTGTGTGAAAATCTGGTGATAGAAGTGATACTCGTTAGATATGCTCGGGGAAGGTAGTGCGTTTCTATTTCATGTCCGTAGAAGCGTTCATGGTCGCTAATGCCAATGCTTGGCGCGGAAACGGGACCCAAGGAACGGCGAGGGGATAGCCTAGATTCCTGTAGCTGTCTGTTCATGTCCATGCTGTAGTCCAGATCCTAGGCACCTGAGACAGTTGTCCTCACTGCCTAAGTTTAGTGCGCTTGGGCCAAGAGGATTGGGTCCACAGCGCACGCCGGCAGTGCTGCTCACTGGTCTTCTGGTGGTCTACTATCAAACCATAATATATTGACCGCCAGTGGCCAAATTCGACACAATTTTAAGGCCCGAAGTCCAGATGGGCTATTACTGTTAAGACTGAAGTTTGTCAACGTTGCTAATCCGGCCACGTGATTCCAAAGGCCTTTTCATCTTGTTTACATGCGGGCACGTAGCTAGTTCCACCAACCAAGAAGATCAAGGATACGTTCCAGCAGCCCACCTCTGAGACCTCAAAATCGCCGTCAAAGTTTCGAGAGCTTATTCGGAATCAGCGGCTAGCAACTCTTAGATGATCTATAGCAGCATGAACACAATCTTAACAATATAAGCCAAACAAAGCAGAGCCAGCCCTACTTCCGCATGCCCGCATGTCCCCCCTCCAGCACCCCCAACTCCTCAAACGACTCGCCTTCCCCAAGCTTCCTTCTCATCTTTTCCTCCCGCTTGCGCTCCTTCTTCTCCCGCCTCAAGGCCTTCTTCTCCCTCCGACTCAACCGCGGAAACTCCGACCCTTCCCCCATCAGCACCTGCCCGGGATGCACGACATTCAACCCCACCAGCGCCACGAACATGGGCACCGCATCGAACACATACTCGTACCACTCGTGCGTCAGCACGGGGTTGTTGACGTCCGTGCCGCGCGCGTATTGCGCCAGCCGGAACACGATGCGCACCGTGATCAGCCCCAGCGCGAGGTACATCACGGCCAGCAGTCTTTTCCAGGTCGGTCGGAACGGTCCGGCCGCGCGGTGCACGCGCTCCATGTCGAGGGTGCCGTCGCGCTCCATGTACAGCATCTTCCGGTGCAGGTAAATGGTCAGACCCGTGAAGATCAGCACGAAGAACTCTTGCATCCCGATTCCGCCCATGTAGATGTGCAGGCCTCGCATTATGGTGGTTTGCGGTTGGTCCTCGCCCGTGGTCATGAAGGCGCCGGCGAGCTGGACGAGAAAGGCCACGATGTCGAGGCAGACGAAGAGGCGGGCGTAGTGCGTGGAGGTGAGGTTGGCGAGGCGGCGGGTCGGGAGGAAGAAGTGGATGAGCCGGCCTAGGGTCATGTAGAGGTAGGCGTTGATCCCTTTTCATTATTCGGTTAGAGGAGAAGACTTGGTAGATAGAGGGGCTATGGTTGAGAGGGGCTATGATTGAGAGGGGTAGGTCTGGGTGATAAAAGGCGGTGCTCACAGATCGGCGCCAGTAAAAAGAAGATTGTGTACATGGTGTCGTAGATGTCGCTGTTTTGTTTACGCGTGAGGAGGGCGCGGAAGATGAAGGCTAGGAGCTCCCAAAGGGCGCCCATGACTACTACCCAGGCGTATCTCTGGGGATTGTTAGCAGGGTTGAGGGGCGGAGAGGGATACACGCAAAGGAATACCTTCTTGTAGATAACCGCTTGTACGAGGTGGCAGATGGTGGTGAAGCCGAAGAAGACACAGAAGAGTATGGCTGCTGCAAACGACGGCACGTACATCAAGATTGCGTCGCATGCTTCTGGCGGCAGATAGCCATTTTTGCCAGGCTGGGGGTGGGTGCATGTTTCGGTGGAGGTCGCGGAGGTTAGGGCACCGGTGGCCGTGGCAATGGATGTGGTTGTGCTCATTGATGTGACAATGGTCAAATTGCTTGACTACTCTCTTTTCTTCGGCCATTGCCTCTTATATATGCTTTGTTTTCTTCGAGTATTTGTCCAAGATCTGTCCAGGATGAGGCTCATCTAGGCAGCCTTGATCCTTGGTTGCAAATATAGATGTTGCACTCAGCCCGATCTGAGGGCGGCGATCCTGGGAAGTATACGAGCAGCAGCAGCTGTCTTCATTGGCTGGCTTGCTTGCGCTGGTCCTATTTGGGACTAGTGTAATCTTTGCCTGGGCCCTCAGGCCAACGTCCGATCGATAGACGCTCGAGCCAATCACAGCGACCGTTGTGTGAAAGCTGACGTGCTGTCAGAGTTCAGGCTGCTGGATTTTATGCTGCGGCTACGCACAGGAATTTTCATTCAATTGGCACACACCGCCAACATCCTGCGTCTCTGGTAATGTGATAGCCTGAAGGGTCAGACTTGACCGGGGTCCAGGACGTTGTAGGTTGGTAGGGGTGGAATACTGGTCTGACAGCCACCTCCGAGATCAATTCCAGGATACAAACATGTTTACAATCAACTAGTTTCTCTCCGAAACACGCCCATAATCTGATCATGCAGGCTTAAAGAATCGGGGAGAATCACCAAGTCTGGGATCGGTAGTCGAGAGGTATCCCGAAATGTTTGATGTGTTTTATGTAATGTTTTCTCTAACTACCTAGTATACTACACTTCTATTGAGTCAGACCTCAGAGCTTGCGCCACCAAAGTCCACTTTTAAAGCAGCCTCTCTTGTAACATCATTCTCCGCGCGACTACCACCATCCCCAAACATCTCGTCGATTTGCTCCAGCGTCTTCCCGCTCGTCTCAGGCACGAGCAAGAATGCCCACACCCCCGCAAGAATACAAAATGCCGCAAAGAAGATATAGGTCCCGTAAGGAATATTCGCGATCATCGACGGAGTCACAATCCCCACCACGAAGTTAGACAGCCAATTCACACAGGTCGACAGCGCGACGCCCTTGGAACGCAGGGCCGTCGGGAAGACCTCGGACGGCAGGGCCCAGCCGAGAGGCGAGTAGGTGTTTCCATAGATGAGGATGAACAGGAAGGCCATCCCCACGCACGCCCACCCCGCCGCCTTGTTGGACCAGTCCGGCCCGTAGACCGCCGTCAGGACTGCGATGATGATGTAGCAGATGCCCATTCCAAGGCCCCCGAGGATCGCCAGGGGACGCCGACCGATCTTGTCGATGGTCACGAAGCAGACCAGTACGGTGAGGAGCTGCAGGCAATTGAAGACCCCCGCTAAGATCAACGACATCTCACCCGTCTGGCCGATTGACGTGAAAAGCGTCGGAGAATAATAAATAAACGCATTGACTCCAGAAAATTGTTGAAAGAAGCCCGCACCCACGCCCACGGCGGTGCGTTTCCACGTGCGACGGTTAACGAGACTCATCCAGAGGGAAGCTTCTCGCTTGAGGCCTGTTACCCCGGGACGCAAGCGTTCTTCGGTGAGCTTTTGGATCCGTATCTCCGTCATGACAGCTCGGAACTCCGCCTGGACTTTTGAGTCGCTCGTGGGCAGACCACGCAGCTTGCTTAGACTCTTGAGGCAGTCCTCCGGACGGTCGACGAGAGCCAGCCACCGCGGGGAGTAGGGGAAGAAATGGATGCCAACTCCGAGAAGTGTGGCGCTGACCATCTGCAGGCCAAAGGGCAGACGGAATGACGCTTCGCTGTCCACCAGTCTCATCCCGAATGTGATCCAATACGCAATGACTGAGCCAGACACGAGGCAGATGGATTCCAGAACCAATAGGGTTCCACGTAGGTTGGGCGGCGAGATTTCTGAGATATACAGCGGTGCGCCCTGGAAGATGTCCAACCGTTAGCAATCTGGTGAAACCAGTATAGGGGCTCCAAAGATACTCATAATGTACGTACCATAGCCAGCGTGCCAACTCCAATCCCACCAATCGCCCTCCCTGCGACCAACATCCCATAGCTCTGGGCGGATGTCTGGATAATCGCCCCGATGTCGAAAATCACCACGACCACCGTTAGCGCCCACTTGCGGGAGATCTTATCCGCCAGATACGGCATGAAGATACAGCCCACGAAGGCGCCGAGGAGCAGCATGCCGGTCATGAAGCCCTTGCCGAATTCACTGGCCGAGCCCGGGATGGCCGCGTGGAATTGCGGCATGACGTTGATCACGGAGATGACACCCTGGTCATATCCAAAACTGAAGCCGCCCAGCGAGGCAAGGAAGGCGGCTCCGAGGACATAACCTGAGCTGAATAGCCCTCGGATACCGTCCGGACCGTAAGAAGGTTCCTCCACGTTGAGGGCGTCAACGTCAAGGATGGTACCCTGCTCATCGTGCTCCACCGTTGTGGAGTCGTCTCCCTTGGCTCGTAGCTGCATTGAGTCCTTCGAATGATGATTCATGCCTCTTAAGATAGTGGCCTGGTTTAATTTCGGAGGTTGAAGAGGGCAGGAACGTGGTTACTTTAAGTAACCCCGTGGGGGTGGGGGGGGGAACCACTTCGTATCTTGCTGGGGTTACCCCGGGCCCGCCCGGGATTCTCCAGACGGGTTATCACTGGGGACTTGCTACGCCAATCAGATATGCAGGACTGTGGTCGGGTTCAATGACGGTATCGACACGGCCCGTCGGACATCTCACTTGGGCGCTGACCTCGGGCTACTGGGCGTGGGGGTTAGCCCCGTCGCCCGTCCAGTTTGGTGGTGCATACTGTGCATACTGAAAGAATCTTGGTCCGACTGGAAGATTCCTGCTCCGACCAGCTGCCGGGTGACCGGAGTATGGATCTATATTCTACGGGGAAACTGGATGGGTATGGGTGCACATATCACTGACGATGATAGTTGCAACATGTCATCTGCATCATGTAACCCCCTACGAGGGGCGTTGTGGATATTCAAAGATAGAACTCGACAAAAGGACTTATCAAGTAGTGATACACCGCATCTTTACAGCTTCTTCAACCATTCGTTATGAACGACGGCTCGGAAGCATTAGCATGCTGGTTCCCTTGCCTCACCACTGTGGATCACAAAGCAGTTAGAGTTCCGTCTCTTTGTCCATCCTTTCCTACCAGCATAGGCAAGATGCGGGACTAATATGACCCTCGTATTCACCAATATGCACACATCAGATGAAGCCTGGCGTAGACGAGAAAAATGACTTTGGACACACGAGGGAACGACGTTCGTCTCTTGTGCCTGCTGTGAGATTTGTGGAGTCTGTCTCCGCATGTCATTCAGGGTGGACCTTGTGGGCTTACCTATGAGAAGATATACATCTGCTTCTCCGGAGTATTGCATAGTAGATCCAAACCATAGGCAGGCTTGTAGGCTGTGCCCCAATGACATCGGATCGGAGCAAATCTGATATCGGAGATAATCTGATGGTACTGATGGCAGTCACAGTCTCATCGCCCGGTGCACGTGACCATCGGTCATCGGAGATTAGGGCACGCGTGGCCCTCCCTCCATTCACTCGAGCAGGAAATTTAATGGGGACAGAATGAATCTAGTATCAAGGTTGCTATCAGATTGACTTTGAGGAGCAGTTGAATCTGTCTCGCTTCTCTCACTCCTGTTAGAAACACCATGCATTACAAACTTTTGTTATCAGGCGACCGAGCCGACTTCACCACGCTCGCACTCGATCTCGACAAGAAGAAGCTGAGCATCCTCGCGAACTACGCCGCCCCTGACAATGCTTCCTGGATTGAACCCGTAGTTTCACAGGGCAGCGTCGACCAACTAGTTGGGCTGTCCGAGGGCGATGACGTCGGTCTTCTTTACAGCTTCGAAGTAGATCATGCACACAAGGCTTGCAAGATCAGCAGTCGGCAGCCGACCCTGGGAGCACCGGGTCACTGTGAGTCTTCTCAAACATTACATTGTTTCTTTTGAGCAACATGAATGATGGTAACCGCACTCGGGTATAGTCCTCACACTACGCAACAAATCTGCGCTGGCACTTGCCACAGTTAGTCTATCCAACTCCTCCCACTTTCACATCCGGCGGATACTGATATATACATACTAAACAGTATCTAGGAGGTTCCATTGCTCTTTACCCCATTTCAGTCACCAAGTCCGGCACGCTACTGCTTGAAGACGTCCCCCGAATCGAGATCATCCCAGAATTCCCCTACCGGGCCGCGGGACACGGCCCGAATCAAGGCCGACAGCGACAATGCCATGTCCATCAGATCCTTGAAGACCAACGTGGCTTGCTCTACGCTCCGGACCTGGGATCCGACCGAGTGTGGCTCCTCCGGCGCGAGGGGACGCAGAAGCTGGATATCTGCGGCTGGCTGCAGTGTCCCCCCGGAACAGGGGCTCGACATGCCGTGTTGAGTCCGGATGGTTTGTAGCTTTCAATTGCTTCATAGCACCGAGCTAGGTTGGCTGACGGAAGCTTGCCAGAGAGAATCATATACGTCATCGGAGAACTCTCACACACCGTCCTCGCCTTCGACCTCTCCGATGGCCCCGCCGAAGCCATCCCGCCCATCGCTGGCTTCGCTCCCAACATCATTCCCCCGGAAGTCCACCCCGACCATCAGTTCATGATGGACTCTTCCGAGATCTGCCGGCATCCTTCGATTCCCAACGTCCTCTATGTCAGTAATCGGTGGGAGAGGCACATTGCGCGGCGCGAACCGTATCTCCAGAGCGTGCCGCAGCAGCTCCCGCCCGGCGATGCGATTGCCATTATCTTGCTCTCTGACGACGGCAGGAGTGTCAAGGCGATCAAGCACGTGCGCACCAAGCTCGATGTCATCCGTGGGATGCGGGTCAGCGACGATGGCCGGTACGTCGTGGCGGTTGGGCAGGAGGGGGGTGGTGTCGAGGTCTACGAGATTGGCGGGGATCGAGGCGATGTGTGGACCCTGGTGGCTGGGTTGAATGAGGGATTGGAGAGTGGCATCAAACATGCTGTCTGGCTATAGAAGTTATGGGACAAGCCC